CCCAGTTAGACACAACGCAATGAGAGCATATGAAAAAGTAGACAACCAAATTAAATATCAGTTGGTTAATAACTACAGGAAGTTCTTTTGTTTCTCAGCAATGGATGCGAGGGAATCAGCTGCGAAATATTGCACTGGCATTCAAAGTCTAATCTGTGTCTATCATATGAATCATTTATATAGAAAATAAATAATGTAGTTTTTCCATTTATGAAAGTTGTAAACTTGTGATACATTTGTAATATCTTAATCTCTGCTACAAAATAAATATTTAGATCTAAAAAAAGATATTGTTTATTATTCTCTTTGGTATCAAATAGCTTTAAAAAAATATGGAAGAAGACATTTTTCACTTTTCATGTTTCGTGGGAATTTGTAAATTTTTAGTTTTTCTTAACTACACATCAGGATATTAAAAATTTTGCATAATGTTTTGCTTATTTAACATGGCATGGTCAAGGGCTTTTCAAAACTGTTTATTTTATCATTTTTTGGACCTATTTTTTTGCAAACATAACTGAATTTCAATTTTTGCAAATTTCCAATTTGTCTTGCATATTTGGACATAAAACATGGGATTTAGAAGGGGGGGGGGGTCAGACTTCACATATAAAAAATAATTACTCGCCCAATACTGTATTTTATTCATACTTAAATGTATATATACTTTGGTGTAATTAAAAAGCTTTAAAATTATAAGATCTGCAAATTAGATTTCACAACTTCATATATAGTTAAAAAAGAGTTAGATATTTTTAGCATTTTTTTACTAAAAAATGCAGATGTGTGTACTTTTGTATGTCTAGATTTTAAAAGTAATGTAAGTGAAAAAAAATTCTTTTGAAATGTCAATCGGATTCGAAAAGATTTAAAACTTGGTTACTTTATAGAAAATAACAAAACTAGAGATTTAACAGATAATCTTTTCTGACTTAAAAAAAAAACTTTTAGAAATGTTGAATTAAGATTTTTACATTAAAAACCAGAGCAACTGTTGTCTTTGATTATTATTTTATTTGAGAATTTTACTGAATATTCTGTAACTTTGTGTCGAAAAATATTAAATGCACTGTAAGGAGTAGATTACTGAATATGCTCCTGGTTCAGTGGTAAAAAGCAAAAAACATTGGCATCATTATAAAATGGAAAGAAAAGACAAGTTGACCGCTGTAATTAATTACCTTGATGTAATGACAAATCTCCAAATTTTTCCAGGGAAACTTTTCTAGAGCTATGATAATTATTTCCAAGATATCATACTTGAAAATAGAATAAAATATTTCCAAGATATCATACTTGAAAATAGAATAAAGTATGTCCAAGATATCAAACTTGAAAATAGAATAAAATATTTCCAAGATATCAAACTTGAAAATAGTACAAAATATTTCCAGGATATCATACTTGAAAATCGAATAAAACATTTTCAAGATATCATACTTGAAAATAGAATAAAATATTTCCAAGATAGCATACTTGAAAATAGAATAGAATATTTCCAAGATATCATACTTAAAATAGAATAAAATATTTCCAAGATAACATACTTGAAAATAGAATAAAATATTTCCTAGATATCAAACTTGAAAATAGAATAAAATATTTCCAAGATAGCATACTTGACAATAGAAAAAAATATTTCCAAGATATTAAACTTGGAAATAGAATAAAATATTTCCAAGTTATAATACTTGAAAATAGAATAAAATATATCCTAGATATCATACTTGAAAATAAAATAAAATATTTCCAAGATAGCATACTTGAAAATAGAATAAAATATTTCCAAGATAGCATACTTGAAAATAGAATAAAATATTTCCAAGTTATAATACTTGAAAATAGAATAAAATATATCCTAGATATCATACTTGAAAATAAAATAAAATATTTCCAAGATAGCATACTTAAAAATAGAATAAAATATTTCAAAGATAGCATACTTGAAAATAGAATAAAATATTTCCTAGATATCATAATTGAAAATAGAATAAAATATTTCCAAGATAGCATACTTGAAAATAGAAAAGAATATTTGAAAATATGATGAAATTTATTCAAAGAAAACAACTATTTTTGAACATAACTTGCCCAGTTTTCAATATTTTTCAATTCTGTAAATTGTTTTGAACTCCGGTTTTCAAGCTGGATACCCATACTATTAATTGATTGTCAAATTATTCATTTTCGCTGACACTAGTGATTTTTTATCATTAAACCCCATTTGAGGGGCACATTTTTAAATTTTGTGAAAAATGTATTTTAAAAACATGCTTTTTAATTCCAAGTGGAATACTATTTAGCTTCTGTAAAATGATTTTAGAAAGGTTTCACTAGATTTTACCCCCCTACCCAGTATTCAAGACATAAGAGATGCATGAGTTCAATTCCAAATAAATATTTTATGTTAGTCAACGTTGGAAATTGTAGAGCAAAAATGTTTTGAATCTGTAATATATAATGTTTTGAATCTGTAATATGTTATGGTTTGAATCTGTAATATGTAATGTTTCAACCTGTAATATGTAATGTTTTGAATCTGTAATATGTAAGGTTTTGAACTTGTAATATGTAATGTTTTGAACCTGTAATATGTAATGTTTTGAATCTGAAAATATGTAATGTTTTGAATCTGTAATATGTAAGGTTTTGAATATCTGTAATATGTAATGTTTTGAATCTGTAATATGTAATGTTTTAAATCTGTAATATGTAATGTTTTGAACCTGTAATATGTAGCACGATAAATTTGCCTGTCTCATACTTGTGAGAAAAATAAAACAAAGTTGTAATGGTGATATGGTCTACATTTTACCTTCTTCTTTTGACTACCTTGAAAATAAATAAAAAACAACATCACTTTTTCAATGGAGGGTCAATTGAAATAACATATTTTTAAGACCAAAAATTGTCATTACCTTAAATTTAAAAAAACAAATTCTTTAGTACGATTTTGAACTTCAACTTTACGCTCAAGCTCAGGATTTACAGATCTTTAAAAAGTTTTATATGTCTCAAAAGCCAGTCTGTCCCTTTAAGACATTTTTTCGTGATGAGGAACAACATATGTTAAGAAACGTTGTATACTAATAAAATATACGTAAAAACGGGTGATTTGACATTACAAAATGTCCTTCCTTTAACAAATTTTGCATTCTTTATAAAATCTACAAATACGATAAGAAAAATCTTCATATTTTAAGTTTTTATTTTGCGTGCTTGGGCGGCGATAAAAGTCCTTTATAGTTTTATCTGAATTTAAGTAAGACTTTTTTTCGGATTTTTTTTACCTGAAGTTCTTTTGGTATATTTGATTTGGCTGTGATAGGCCATTGCAATGGTTTGTTTGCGTAGTTGGCGTTCATTATATCCTGAAATATTATTTTAAATATTTTTGCAAATTAGTTTTTTTTTATATCTAAATGTTTTTGAAAAGTTGGACTGGAGTTATGTATAACACTTCCCTATGGGCGAAATCATCTATATTTAACAAAAATGAACAAATGAAAATATGCTTTAAACGTCATTAGTGCAAATTGTCGTAAAAGTATTTTCAAAAAAGTTCATAGTAATTCGATCTTGGGATATCGTTTTTTTCATAAAAAAGAAAGTAGGAATCAAGTGGCATCAAGGGGGAAAGAACTCAGGCAGTTGGTGCAATAGCCTATTGTGCTAAAGATTACACAAGACGCACATTGGACGATTTTATTAAAAATAAATATATTTAAAAATATACCTTCTTTACAGTATCAGGATCATCGATGTACATCTCGTTTGACATAAAGGATACAAATCCTGCGGGGATTATCTCATAGGATACTATACAATTTACAAATTAATCTAAAGCGATCAAATTCATCATGTTTTGATTTTTTTTTATTATTCGTCAAAAATAGAATGAACGACTTTATATACTTTAATATTTAGATTAAAAAAAATATTAATATTTGGCAACTACGAAAACTCTACATTTATCGGGTGAAAAAGTTTTTGAAAGTTAAGTCTTCGTATTCTTCAACTAGACCCACTAATTTACCGTGTTTTTTCATGGAAATATCTAAGTTGGGTTTCCTCAACCTTCCTTTTCTTGAATTTTTATTCATCCTTTTTTTAACTTTTTTAACTAATTTAAGCCTTTAAACAAATAACAACTTTTCGAAACTTTAGGAAATCTAATAAGATCCGCAAGATTTTGACTTCCTTAATCTGGATCCGGATCCGAAAAAATATGCGGATCGGCGGATCCGAATCCAAGGGGTAAAATATCAACCAAAAACTGCAAAAAAAAATTTTTCTCCAAAAACCCTAATCTGAACTTTTGAAAAAAAAAGATTTAAAAATTTTTCTCATTTCTGAATGGTTCATCAAGTTTTAGGATGAAAATAAGCGAAAAAATAAAACTAAAATTTTGAAAAATATTTTTTGTTACAAAAATTCAGTAAATCTTAAAGAAATGATCTGAATCCGGATCAATTTTTTTCCAGTGCGGATCCAGGATCCGGATCTGGATCCGGATTTGCATCAAAATTAAATGGATCCCAAGCATCCTCATTTCAAATGAGGATGGATAGTGGATAAATGCATACATAGTTTAAACCTATTATTAATGTAATTTCAAAATTTGATTAATAACAGAAAATTCATGTTATTAAGTTTTTAAAAGAGAGTGGGGAGGGGAGGTCAAATTTCTATATTTATAATTTAATTTATTATGCGTAATTCAATTTCATTTTCCTAAATTAAAGTTAAAATGTATTTTAAAGGGACTGTAGGCTCAATTAAATAAGTATAACAGTTTTAAAACTATTTCCATCTATTTTTTTATGTAGATAAAGGTACTGTTTGCATAACTAACCCTCAATACAATTACATGAGATATTAGTTTCAAAACTAACACCAATGGCCCATTTCAAACAATGAGTGTTAGAAATGGGCCAACTCTGCAAAGTTATCTTTTTCAAGAGTATATATATCATTAAATCCAAGACGAGTAGAACAAAATTACACCATATATTTATAAAAATAGCTAAAACTATATAATGAAACAATAAATGTCAATTTTAAACCAATAATAAGGTGTGAGAATTAGATTTTGATGATTCTTGATTTCTTTTTCGAACATATCCGTATTTTGCAACAATTACAATGTATCAGATAATAACCTCTCTCTGACTCCTCTTCCTTCCATTTCTCTCAATGTATTGGATACTAACCTCCCTCTGACTCCTCTACCTTCCATCTCTCTTGATGTATCGAATACTAACCACTCTCTGACTCCTCTACCTTCCATCTCTCTTGATGTATCGGATACTAACCACTTTCTGACTTCTCTACCTTCCATCTTTCTCGATGTATCGGATACTAACCTCTCTCTGACTTCTCTACCTTTCATTTTTCTCGATGTATTGGATACTAACCTCTCTCTGACTTCTCTACTTTCCATTTCTCTCATGTATCGGATACTAACCTCTCTTTGACTTCTCTACCTTCCATTTCTCTCAATGTATTGGATGCTTACCTCTCTTTGACTCCTCTACCTTCCATCTCTCTTGATGTATCGGATACTAACCTCTCTTTGAATTCTCTACCTTCTATTAATCTCAATGTATCGGATACTATAAAACTCTCTCTGACTCTACCTTCTTTTTTTTCTTGCTGTATCGAATACTAACCTCTCTCGGACTCCTCTACCTTTGATTTCTCTAAATGTATCGAATACTAACATCTCTCTGACTCCTCTACCTTCCATTTCTCTTGATGTATCGAATATTAACATCTCTCTGACTCCTTTGCCTTCCATCTCTCTTGATATATCGGATACTAACCACTCTCTGACTCCTCTACCTTCCATCTCTCTTGATGTATCAGATACTAACCACTCTCTGACTCCTCTACCTTCCATCTCTCTCGATGTATCGGATACTAACAACTCTCTGACTCCTCTACCTTCCATTTCTCTCCATGTATCAAATACTAACCACTCTCTGACTCCTCTACCTTCCATTTCTCTTGATGTATCGGGTACTAACAAATCTCTGACTCCTCTACCTTCCATTTCTCTTGATGTATCAGATACTAACCAATCTCTGACTCCTCTACCTTCCATCTCTCTCGATGTATCGAATACTAACCTCTCTCTGACTCCTCTACCTTCCATCTCTCTCGATGTATCGGATACTAACAACTCTCTGACTCCTCTACCTTCCATTTCTCTCCATGTATCAAATACTAACCACTCTCTGACTCCTCTACTTCCATTTCTCTTGATGTATCGGATACTAACCTCTCTCTGACTCCTCTACCTTCCATTTCTCTTGATGTATCGGATACTAACCTCTCTCTGACTCCTCCACCTTTGATTTAACTAAATGTATTGGATACTAATCTCTCTTTAACTCCTCTACCTTCCATTTGTTTTAATGTATCCAATACTAACGCCTCTCTGACTCATCTACCATCCATTTCTTTTGATTTATCGGATACAAACCTCTTTCTACCTTCAAGTTCTCTCAATGGATCGGATACTAACTTCTCTTTAACTCCTCTGCCGCCATCCATTTCTCTTGAAGTATCTAATACTAACCTCTTTCTGACTCTTCTACCTTTCATTTCTCTTGATGTAACGAATACTAACCTCTTTTAGACTCCTCTACATTCCTTTTCTCTTGATGTAACGAATACTAACGCCTCTCTGACTCCTCTACGTTCCATTTCTCTCTATGGATCGGATACAACCTCTCTCTGACTCCTATGACTTCAAGTTCTCTCAATGGATGTCATACTAACCTCTCTCTGACTCTTCTACCTTCCATTTCTCTTGATGTATCGAATACTAACCTCTCTCTGACTCCTTTACCTTCTATCTCTCTTGATGTATCGAATACTAACCACTCTCTGACTCCTCTACCTTCCATCACTCTCGATGTATCGAATACTAACCACTCTCTTACTCCTCTACCTTCCATCTCTCTCGATGTATCAGATACTAACCACTCTCTGACTCCTCTACCTTCCATCTTTCTTGATGTATCGGATACTAAACACTCTCTGACTCCTCTACCTTCCATTTCTCTTGATGTATTGGATACTAACCACTCTCTGACTCCTCTACCTTCCATCTCTCTTGATGTATCGGATACTAACCACTCTCTGACTCCTCTACCTTCCATCTCTCTTGATGCATCGGATACTAACCACTCTCTGACTCCTCTACCTTCCATCTCTCTCGATGTATCGAATACAACCACTTTATGACTCCTCTACCTTCCATCTCTCTCGATGTATCGAATACTAACCACTCTCTGACTCCTCTACCTTCCATTATCTCAATGGATTGGACGGATACTAACCTCTCTCTGACTCCTCTACCTTCCATTATCTCAATGGATTGGACGGATACTAACCTCTCTCTGACTCCTCTACCTTCCATTATCTCAATGGATATACTAACCTCTCTCTGACTCCTCTACCTTCCATTTCTCTCGATGTATCGGATGACAGAGAAACATCCCGCTTTGTTCCTCAGACAAAACATCCAACTGATTTCTGGTTCGCCTTTATAGGGAATGTTGGTATAATTCGAAATGACCCTCCTCTAGAGAGGGCCATCCCTGATTCACAAAAACCATTTTCGAATCAATATCGTGAAAGATATCGTTCTTTTTCAAGCTTAAAGGGACTGCAAGTGTAATTTCAAGTGACCTTCCATAAGAAGATAGCAATGCACGAATTACAATAATACCCTTGAAACTTTAATTTGATCAAAATTAAGTGAAAATAAATGAAATTTCATTTCTTAGTTTTTCTATTCACCTAAAAAGATATTATTTTTTACACTTTATCTATTTATTTGTTTTTTTAATTATTAATCAATAAATCTTTATATTTCGCGTTTTTTAAAATTCTTTTAAAAAATTTTTTTTAAACATTTTATCTATTTATTTGTTTTAATTGTTTTATCAATAAATCTTCATATTTTCACTTTTCTGCATTTATTTGAATTTTTTTTCTTGTTTTTTTATGAAAATTTCATCTTTTACAATTTTTTTTTCATCTTGCTGTTATATTCCTACCTTTCTTTGCTCTGATCAACTATCCCAGTCCCTTTACCCACCACAACATCACTCCAAGCTTTAATAATAAGAATATTATGCAGTAGACAGATCTGCTGCTTTAGTAATTGTAAATTGGCAATAAAGTCCGAAAATAAAAACCCCGGTTGTTTAAATAGAATTGCTATTCACGGATTGTAGGATTTAAGTATTCACTAGTTAAAACATTTCACTATACAATATTTTTCTTTGTCGGAGACGAAGGTAAATGCCGGAGTATATTCTATGGTATTAGACTGCTCAGAAACAGGGAATGGGTTGGAAAGACGACATTACGTTGGATAAAAGTGGGAGGCAGATTTAAGTGCAACAAGAGGTTAGGGTTAATTAATATATTAATTGATTTAATTAACAACTAATTATTAGTTTAGATGTCAAGGTTGAGGTGAATGTCAGCAATGAAGGATTAAGTTCATCAAGTGCAGGTAGAGATGGGTATCAGGTAGAGATGGGTATCAGGTAGAGATTTGCAGGTAGAAATGGGCATCAGGTAAAGATTTGCAGGTAGAGATTTGCAGGTAGAGATGGGCATCAGGTAGAGAATTGCAGGTAGAGATGGGCATCAAGTAGAGATTTGCAGGTAGAGATGGGCATCAGGTAGAGATTTGCAGGTAGAGATGGGTATCAGGTAGAGATTTGCAGGTAGAGATAGGCATCAAGTAGAGATTTGCAGGTAGAGATGGGCATCAAGTAGAGATTTGCAGGTAGAGATGGGCATCAGGTTGAAATGGGTAAAGCTTTGGGTAGATTAAAGATAGCTCTCAAGGTAGGTTTAGGACTACGCTTTAGATGTATTCAGGATAATTTGTTAGACAGGTTCAGTACAACTCTTTAGGTAGATTAAGGATAACTCTCAAGGTAGGTTTGAGATAACTCTTTAGAAAGTTTTCAAATAACTCTTTAGGTTAGATTTAGGATAAATCTTTAGTTACATTAAGAATAACTTAAGATATATTTAGGATAGGTTTAGAACTGCAATTGGTTGGCTCAGCTCGGATATTCAAAATGTACACTGGTTGTTCGTAGTAGTCAGAACCAAATATCAAATATATTAGGTGGCAAATTTAAAATTTTTTTAAAAAAACGTTATTGGCAGAGCTGTAACTAAAGTGGGGAGGGGGGCTGGGTGTGTTCTTTTGCCTGTTTTAGTTGAATATATTATTTTTCAAAGATACATCCACAGTTTAACCCAGAACCAAGAAAACGTAGTTTTTTAAATCTACTTATAATGGATTTTAATTTTGGAATTAAATGATTTTTTGGCGCGCTTTGAAACTGGTTCTGCATTTTTTATGGCTATTTATTTTTTTACAATTATTGAGATGTAGGTATAATATTATAAACCCCATTAAAAATGTCAAGACACCATCTTATTAATTCTTTTGATGACTTCAAAGTTCTGTGACAGTAAAAAAGAAAAACAAAATCTTTATAATAGTAAAAATAGCAATAATAATAATAATAATAATAATAATAATAATAATAATAATTAAAACGTCCAAATAAAAATAGCTATTAAAGTATAAAGTATAAGTGTATAACTTACCAAAAATATATCAAACTAAATATAAAACAACTTAAATATAAAATTAACCAAAAATTACATTAATAAAAAATAGTACTAACCAAAAATATAACTGACCAAATATATAACTAACCAAATATATAACTAATTAACCAAATATATAACAAACCAAAAATATAACTAACCAAAAATATAACTAACCAAAAATATAACTAACCAAACATATAACTATATTTTTTTGATAAAAAACTTAAACATTTTTTTGATAAAAAACTTAAACATTTCCCGAAGAAATTGAGTCTTTGCCATAAACCCAAATTTTCCAATCCTTGACCGAAGAGAATTTAAAGTTCAAAATATCTAAGGTCTACAAAATTGAGTTTGGAAAAGGCCGAGAAAATCAAAGTTTGTAGCAAAAACTCAATTCCTTTACCTGGGTTGTACAGTGACATTTTTGCCAGATATTATTATTATTATTCTATAGATTTTACCTGGGTTGTACAGTGACATTTTTGCCAGATATTATTATTATTATTCTATAGATTTTTGATCTATCTTGATCCAAGCTTGCCTTGTTTTCAACTGACAACTTTTGTTGATATTGGATTTAAGAAGCAAAAATCACCCGTCCCCCCTTCCAATAAAACATCCCCCCTCCCCTCCCATACCTCACTTCAAATAAACCCTGCCCCCCCCCCCACCGCTGCATGCAATAAATATTTCTGAACTAAAAATGAACCTAAATGGAAAGTATTTAAATGATTTTTTTTTGTACAAAATATAATAATCTTTGTTGTACTTTTTTATATCGCTAAAAAGATTTCTCGAAATTTATATTTTCTTTTTTGTACTTTTAGTACTACAGCTACAAGATTTATATTGTTTATTTGCATTAAAGCTCTAGCGTTATTTTGTACTGCAAGTATATTTACTCGTTACTTTTAAAAATACAGAAACTTTTCATACTTTTTATACTTATTTGTTAAGCGGTAAATCTTTTTTCTAAATATCTTTCTCCGACCCCATAACTCCAAGAAAAAAATTGGCTGATTTTTTTATGCAAGAGTCTGTGTTTTATAAAAGTTTTAAAAACACATATCTTCTTTCTTGATCTATAACTTGTATCACGGTTTGATATAAATGTCAACGTTTTTTTAAAAAATTTTGTTTTAATTTTCCGAAACTTTTTTGAAATTATCTAATTTGAAATTTCCGAGCACCGTATAACCTTTAAAGTGAGAGATCTAAATATTCAAAAATTATTAGCCCTCGAAAAAAAGAGAATTGGGCATGATTTCATGCAAAGACTAGGGTAGAGGCTGTCGGTTAAAAAATAGTACATTCACTTTTTTATGAGCCACCGATCTAATAAATGGATGTCAATCATATGTCAAATGTTATCGTTTTCCACTCCTCCCTTTGTTTTTTAATTATAAATTAAAACCGGCTTACACTGTAAAAATGCTCAAACTTCTTTACCTTTTCAACGCCATTATAGTTGTAAACATATTTATAAATTTTTTTTAGCATAGATTGGGAAAAATAATGGTAAAAGAGTTAGTTGATGTTAAAAAAATAATTAATAACGCTAAATAGCTTTTTTAATAATAAATAATAACAGATCTAAAAGCCCTTGAAAAATGGATGTTATTATTAAATATTCAAACTTGAAATGAATAGGTCACCAACGTGTAAAAAAATATGTATTTACAACATGAAAAAAAAAAACAATTAAATATTTGATTAGAAACTTATTGAATCAAGATGAAGCTTTCAGCGGATCTTCTTCATCGGGACTGCCGAGTCATTCAGTTTATTAAAGCAAAATCGTCTCCTTCCGCAGCGTGGAGGGAGCGTTGGCCTGCATCTTCAAATAGAAACTCAGGTCATGATATTGGCTTGGATTTGTCATGCATCCAGAACGTGACTTCAGACGTGGCGTTGTTCATTTCCGGCTAATGGACAAATCTTGCATACAACTAGGACATGCTGGCTGTTGTTATCCATCCACCTCCCCCTGGAAACTTCAAGTTTGGTATATACGTATATATAACCAGTCCATGTAATTAGCTCTGAATACGGCCAATAAGGAAGATCAATGGAAATAATTTGATTATTTTTTTCTTTTCATCTCTTCAAAACATCTACAAGTATAAAGCACAGGGGAAATAATTATCACATTTTATTCTAATAAAAGTATTTACTCGAATAATTGTTAAATTTGATTTAAATATTTAATCTAAATTTAAACAATTTCTGATGAAGAATAGATTCCCCTGGTGTTAGGAGAAGAACCTCTGATTAAAGGATAAAATGAACAGAAGTTAGAGTTTTCATACCATTCACCCTCAGGCAAGCATCAAACATAGATAGATCTTTCTTTAAAAATACTCATTAAAATGTCGGTTTATTCATTATTTAAACTAAAAGGACCCCCGGCCCCCCATGTCCCCCAATTTGAAAGTCTAGCTCAGTTTAATTCTTTCTATCATTTGTTGATGTTTTTAAAACGTATTTTTTCTGGATAACATTTTTTTTTCACAAAACATAATTACAATTTAAAATGATTGAAGTAAGGGCATTTTAAAAATTCAGTTATTGAATAAAATCTGTGTCAATATTAGGGGTTTGTAAAGAAAATATCTTGAAAATTCCGCAAATCTACGAACATTTTCGAAACACTTTTTGCGCGCAATTCTGTAGTTTTACAAGGAAATGAATTTTGCGGAATCAAGCAAAAACGATGTACATTTAAATTCTGCGCAAAATGCGGAATTTTGGCGAAATTTTTAATGGGGGGGGGGATTACATGTTTCAAATTTTCTTTTGCCAATTGATCAATGAATGATGAGTAGGAGATGAGAACTCTTCTCCTTCTTGTATTCCTGATCTCAAACTATGATTATCAGGTAGGTTTATTATTGTTCATTATATACCCGAGTTGAGACGGGAGATTTATTACAGTTCATAATATACCCGAGTTGAGACGGGAGGTTTAATATAGTTCATTATATACCCGAGTTGAGACGGGAGGTTTATTATAGTTCAATATATACCCGAGTTGAGACGGGAGGTTTAATATAGTTCATTATATAACCGAGTTGAGACGGGAGGTTTATTATTGTTCATTATATACCCAAGTTGAGACGGGAGGTTTATTAGTGTTCACTATATACCCAAGTTGAGACGGGAGGTTTATTATTGTTCATTATATACCCGAGTTGAGACGGAAGGTTTATTATTGCTCATTATATACCCAAGTTGAGGCGGAGATTTATTAAAGTTCCATTTATACCTGAGATAAGTCGCGGGGGGGGGGGGTAATAATAGTTCATCATATATACAGAAGTTGAAGGAATTGAAGGATTACAATCCATATTAGATGTCTATCTATACAAATATTCAATTATCTACATTTAACCACCCTCAAGAAATTAATTGATAGGGTTTCCTTTCTCAATGATTTCAAAGATCAAGTCCCTAAATTTTTAAGAAATATTAGTTGAGCGTTTTTTTAATTCTTTTTGCTAGTCGCTGACTTTGAGAATTCTACTTTTTATCAGAACAAAGGTTAAAAAAAACGAGAGAATAATTTATCATGAAATTTTTTCTTGTTCATCCATTTTTTTATTTTTTGGGTCATTACAGCTTCGCAAATGGCATATCAGTATAAAATTTGAAAACTTAAGTGTCAATCTCTTAAACTAAAATAGTTTTTTGGGGGGATGAAAAAGGGGTACATTGATAGACCGAAAATCTTTTTTATATTTTATATACTTCTCATTTTGAAATGCTTTTCATAAAAGTTAAAACTTCTTGACTTTTAATTAAATTCAAATTTGAAATTAGAGGAGTTTTTGAAAAAAATGAATTTAAAGGGACAGTAAAGGAAAAATGAAAGGGGGTATTGGCTGAAAGCTAATCACTTTAGCTCTTGATCTCGACCCATGAAAGTCATATCTGATGTTCCTGTCTCGAGAAATTGATATAAAACTGTGTCAAATCTATACGAAAATTAATATATATACAATTTTGTATAAAAGTACTGAGTTTAAACAGATCATATTCAGCAAATAAGTGTGATTTAAGTTTCAGATTTTCAAAATTTTACATATATGAATTTTCGTTTAATTTTAACACAGTTTTATATCAATTTCTCGAGATAGGAACATCAGATAAAACTTTCATGGGTCGCGATCAAGAGCTAAAGTGATTAGCTTTCAGCCTATACCCCCTTTCATTTTTCCTTTACTGTCCCTTTAATTTAGGGAATTAGGTGAGATTATACAAATTTACAGGCAGATGCTGTAAAGGTTTTAACATTTCAAAACTGTATTCTCTATAATCATCTATTAACTATGCAAACTATTAACACTTAGGAATAAACAAACCAAAAAACTCGTTTGAAAACAATCGTTTCGGTTTAGGCTTATCTAAGAAAATTATTTAAAATTATAGAAAATTCTCAGATATTTTTATTATAACCTTTTAAAAGTCTAAAACCTTTAAAAGTTTAAAGAAAAAAAATGTAGTCATTGCTAAAGTGTTTGGTAAACAATACGGCTGAAAAGCCCTAGAATAAGATTGTGCAAGTTTATGGACACAAGGTAAAATTTGACTAAAAGATTTAATCTTTTTACATTTTTCCGAGGAACTTTTACAAATTTTGTCATTGAAAGTTAAGTTCCAAATTTTTGTTTTTAAATGGCATTTTATGATAATTTTCATCCGAAATTTTTTTTTTACTTTAAACAACCAAAGTTTTTTTCTTTCTATTTTCTAGTTTCTCTCTATGTAGTATAGTGTGTAGAGTGTATACAGTGCTCCATTTAATAATATTTTAACATTTATTGATATAAATGATTTTTTGATTTTCAGCTGTATCAGGGATTTTCATTGTTTCAATACAAAATTAATAAAGATTCTTTTTTGAACATAATTTTTAATCTTTTTTATATTAAAAAAAACGAAAGAATCCCCCAGCCTCCTTTTTTTCTAAATAATCGGGACAAAATTGTAAAAAAATATATTTTAACCAGGTAAACTGTAAACAAGAAGATCCTACTGAAGACATTCTGGAGGATGGAAACAGGTTTAGATATTTCTAGATTGGAAACCCAGCTTTGCCTGGAGATCTAAACGATAAATCAAATCAATTAAGTTTCTGTGTTCTGACTATTTTCCCACCTGATATTTGTGGCAAATCAGTTAAGGGGTTTATGTTTCAAATTGCCTGCCTTTTTTCGCAAAAATGTTATATTTGGTTTATCTCAAATATTTGAAATGAGACAATAATCATCCAGCTCTCTATAATTCCCAGTGGAGTTAGCACACTGGAGGAAAGTTCTTAGCTTATCTTGAATCTTTTTAATTGGAGTATAAGTGTGGTCTCAATCCTTTAAATCCTTTAAATTTTGAAAGAATTTTTTTTTTTGGCAGCAAAAGTGGGATGGCTGCAAAATAAGCGACAAAAAAACGCTTTATTCGTCAAACAAATTTGTTTATTTGGCAGTCATCCAACTTTTGCTGCCAATTAAGCAATTATTTGTTGAATGTAAGTGATTAAAAAAAATTGTAAAACTGTTTAGTCTTCAGAAGCGAGAAGAAGGTCCTGGCTATACTTTAAGGATTCTTAAACGTTCTCAGGTTAGAAATGATCCTGACAATTTTGCTTTAAAATTTTAAATAAACATTGGCCAGTGACACACTCTTTTCCCTTTAAAAAACTATGCCTATCATAGGGTGTCCATTTATTAAATGATTTGACCCTAAAAACGTTCAGAAAAAAAAACATCAACATATTTTGAACCGTCCTTAAACATTCCAGAGCCATCTGGAACGACAAAAATTTGGGGTACAATCAATTTAACCGTTTTGACGCTTATGGATCTGAAGTACAAACCAACACCCCAGTCTAATATGCCTCTACTCTGAACTATTATAAAAGTGCAGGTTCTGACTAAAAGAAATATTTTTCAATTTTGATAAAATTTCACAATCCACAAAATAGGTGGTTGACGATGACCTCGAGGAAGATCCAGAAGGTTATCAAGATGACATATCAGCTGGGTAAATAAAACTACTATTGGAAACATTCTACTCATCAAATCACTCCGGAGTATCTTTACAGTGTTTCAGTTGGAAACTCTTATTTTTAACACTCTGAGCTGAAAAATTTAGAATTGGATACCTTTAATCCTGATTGCTTCATCTGAATATCCAATGTGGACCCTTTTAATTTCCTCCTTAATCCACTCTTTTTCTTACTTTTTGGATTTCCGAACTTTGTTTTACCAATAAGAGTCCATTCATTAAACTTTAATTTTTCGGATGCAAGAGAAGTTTTTTAAATGTCAAAACATAATACAGAATAATGTAAGAAATGAAAAATATATTTTTTACAAATATTAACATTTGACACATTTTAACATCATTCATATATTTTTTCATTTTTATTTAGAAGTTTTAGATCTAAAGCTCAAATAATAAAGAAGTAATGAAGAATTTTTGATTATTAGTGTTAGCTGTTTTTAAAAAAACCGGGATAGGATTAAAGAAAATTAATCTCCTTTAGGAAAAGAAGCAACGTGTTCAACACTCGTGTAATGAAGAGGTCTAAGGCACCTGATTACCTGAAACGAATAATGAAGCGCAGTCAACAGAAAAATCCTCCTCCTTCCAATCATGAGTATATGAAACGAATTATGAAACGAAATGAATATCTTAAAAGGATAATGAAAAAATCTGATTCATTTGACATGCGTCTAATGAAGAAAGCAGATCCCTATGATATGCGATTAATGAAGAAAGCAGATCCCTATGATATGCGATTAATGAAGAAAGCAGATCCCTATGATATGCGATTAATGAAGAAAGCAGATCCATTTGACATGCGTCTAATGAAAAAAGCAGATCCTTATGACATGCGTCTCATGAAAAAAGCTGATCCCTTTGAAATGCGATTAATGAAGAAAGCAGATTCCTTTGACATGCGCCTGATGAAAAAATCAAATCCTATTGATATGCGCCTGATGAAAAAAGCAGATCCATATGACGTCCGCCTGATGAAAAAATCAGATCCTTATGACATGCGTCTCATGAAAAAAGCCGATTCCTTTGACATGCGATTAATGAAAAAAGCAGATCCCTATGACCTGCGTCTAATGAAAAAAGCCGATTCCTTTGACATGCGTCTAATGAAAAAAGCAGATCCCTATGACCTACCTCTAATGAAAAAAGCCGATCCCTATGACATGCGCTTAATGAAGAAGGCAGATTCTCTTGATGAGTATGATTCTGAAGAAATTATGCAAGGTTTGTAAGAATTTTATTGTTTTTATTTTTCTCTGATTTCTTAGTTTTTTTTCATTTTAGACAAAACAGAGGAATACTCTGAAGCTGATTTAGAGGACCAGGTAAAAGCATCAACTAAAGAAATAAACAATCCCGAACTGAAAACTTTAGAATGGTGGATATCGAGATTAATGCTTGATTCTCTCTTTTTCTTAATATCGAGACTAACCTAATCTTGTATCCTAAAAAGTATATAAAATTCAACCAATCAGAGTTGTGTATATTAAGCCGATAAATTTGAAATTTTGCCCGCCATTTAGGATTAACATACAGAAACGGGAGGAACTCTCTAATTCTAAAAATTCGGTTTTTGATTTTTTTCCTCTATATCCTAGAAATAACAGTTTAAGAAGAAAATCAAAAGTGTGTCCACTGGATACTCAGATTAAGTAATCAGGATTAGGAATATCTCATTATAGAGTTTTCAGCTCATAACGGAAAACTTTAGAATTGAATTATAGTCGCTTAATCTGAAAATCCACTGTGGACACTTTTGATTTCTGCTTAATCCAATATTTTTCTCTCTTTTTGGATATCACTATTTTGTTCCGACTTATGAGAGTTTTGTCATTGATTAGCGCCCCAAAATTTCTAAATTTCTCGGCTTCTTAATGGCCGATCGGGTTTCCTCAAAGGCCCATGAGATTGGTTGAATTTTAAACACTTTTCTGGGTACAAACTAAAGATTAAATTAATCTTGATATTAATAAAAAATGGGACCAAGTATTGATTTCGATATCCACAATTCAACTCTGATTAATAGTTCTATTTAGGTTTGAATTGAGTTAATGTGTCTGCTCTTGAATTGTGATATCAATAAATAGAGAGATGTATGTGAAGTCCAGAATTAATATTTATGTTTATTTATGTCATTTGTGTTGTCCTACTCATTGTGCAATATAAAACACTTATTAATCAATGCACTTTAATACACTTAATAAAGAGGCTGAGAACTAATATGAAGTTAACTATTTTCTCTGAAAATGTATAAACGTATAAAAGGGTCGTTTTCGCTTTGTTTATAAAACGGTGAAAAAAACGAAACGCGTTGTTTTTAAAAACGATAGTTTTTGATAAAGATTGTTTTTTGAAATAAAAAAAGGAAGTCGTTTTTTAGCTATAGCTCGTCATTTCATTATAATAGGTCGTTTTTAATTTTTGACGATCATTACCGACGACCCTTCATTCACGACCGTAAACAATGACTTTCGTTAACGATTGTTAACATCCTTTTTAATCAAATTAGATTGTTTGGTCGGAAAACCCTTAGATCAGAAAAATCTTGATAAAAAAACCATTTAAGACGACATTCATAGCCTCATCTTCCTAAAAAAAAAATTAATTAATTGTCATAAAACACAGATGTATCCGCTAATTTTTTTCAAAAACTATCTATTTGAAAATATACGATCGTATCGTGTTTTTTTTTTACATTTCAAAATAAGTGATTCGTACGTTGTGAAACATCGTTTTTTTGATCGTTTTTAAAATCGGTTAACAACCCTAGTTATAAGACCTTGTTGGTTCAAGTTTAGCTAAGCATACCAGGAAAATAAAATAGTTTAATGCTTACATGTCTAACCTATAGATCCTAGTGTTTTCCCTGTCACTCATTGGCATCATAGAAAGAATTTATATTAGAACTTAAAACTTAACACAATATTTGTTTTGTATATTTGTAGTCTACTTATGAAGACCCTTATAAACATAAAATAAAAAATGAAAAGACAATTATTTGATACATGAATATTTCTACATAATATTTATTATTACATTGTTTCTCTTTTGATGTTTGATCGATACCTTGTCAGATTATAACACTGTTCAAACATCATCCACAATTTTGATAAGATAAAGGTTTAAAGGAAACCATTGTGAATCTGTCAAACTTCTCTCTAAATGAAGCTTTACTTAAAATTACTAAAATCCCATTTGATTTATCCGTTTCCATATTTAAAAAGTACACTTTAAAAAATCAAAACTTGTTGATTGCTTTCCAATTTTTACAAAAACTGAACCAAAGCAGGAATATATCGTGTGGACTTTGTTTTCACCATTAGCAATGGGTGTGAACCCATTCTTGTTAACTGTAGTAGACTTTGCCATCCACCATTAACAAATTTTTTAATTCTCGTTGAAGCTTTAGTCGACTTTGACGTGTAAACCCATTTTTGTTAACTGTAGTAGACTTTGACATCCACAATCTAAGCCCATTCTCGTAGACTTTTAAGATTTGAGAGACCCTCAATTTGTAGAGTGGCATGCCAAACTCACATCGGTACCCTTTCTTTAACCCTTTTTTCATCAAGAATTACGCAATGATATCATTCTTTTTCTTCTGAAGTTGATTATCCAGAAAATCCAGGTTAACAGTGTTTGTTTTTAGTTTAGTTAAATATGAACTTCGTTACCAGCTGATTATAGAATTCATAATTGTTATGAAATGTCTCTTGAGGATTTTCAGAGATTCGAAACTTTATATCCGGCATAACATGAGTCACGGACACCCTACAAATTGCAAATTACAAGATATATATTTTTCATTTCCAATTTAAAGGTAAAAAATAGAAAAGCCGACTTTTTTCCCAGTTGATACTTGAACTAGGTTTAAAGAATTTGGGCCAAACCTAGAAACGGATCAACCACGCCTCTTTAATCAGTGATTCAGGATTTCTCCATGTTCTACAGATGGTACTTAAACAGATTTGAATCGACAGTAGGTGGTAAACCGACCTAGCTCAAATTTATTAGATTTAGTTTGAAACAGAATTTTCGGGACTTGAAAGTTGGTGAGATAACAAAGTGTTAATAATTTTGAAAAACCTTCAGTTAGATTTTACTAAAAAATTTTAGGTTTCTTTTCAAATAATGGCGGTGCAAAAAAACATGAGGGGATTCATAAATTTTTTTTCTACCTTCAGAGCTGGGAACTTTAAAAATGAATACTCATAATCATGATCGCTTGACCTCGATATATACTGCGGGCACTTTTAATCTGAGAACCAATACAAACTGTACCTTTCCATATCTTCATTTTAGTTATTCCCCCCCCCCCCTTAATAACAGCTCCTTTCACCCCCTGACTGGGTAGGATTACCATGCGGGATATAGAATAAAGATAAGATTATTCTGCAGATTAATAAAAGGTCGAGCTCAAGCATTGATTTCGAGAGTTTTCAATTCAAGAGTTCCTGACTTATCTATAAATTGTTAATCCGAGTAAACCTCAAATATCGTCTTTTATCGGATCAAATTTTGATTTGGTTTCAACAGACGGAAGTTCTCTGAAAAAAACTCTTCGGAAATTGCGTCCTAAATTCTAAAACAGTACTGGAAATAAAGTCCTACTATTTAAAGACTTTCTTTTCTTGAACTTTTTTTCTGGTTCTAGCATGATTTTATACAAAATGTCAACGGCCTCTTATTGTGTAAAATGCACGGTAACAAAGGATGTTTACAACCACGGAAAAAAGAGACTTTGAATATTAAATACACTACTGCCTCTCCATGTATAATAAAACAAGTCATTCGTATGTATGTTCCCTATAGCCGGCCTAACGGCTGGACCGAATGGGCTGACATTTATTGAGAGAACCCATGGGGGTAACAAAGGCTAAAGAAATTCTGAAATTTTTTTTTTTCAAAAATCTAAATTAAAAAAAGAAATTATTACACGGCCAACCCTTGCGTATATGAAAAGTCCTTTTTATGAAAACGTCTCAGCCTTTTTTTCTTGTTATTACTATATAATATATTGAAGACTTTTTGCCATTTATTTAGATAAACAATCTTTTACTCAAATAAATTTTACTTTGAAAGAAATTTCGCCATTAAACTTTTATAATTGTCTTATTGGTATCTAATAACTTAACAAATTATGGAAGAAGACATTTTAAACTATTCATCAACTGTTATGTCTCGTGGGACTGCACCCTGTATACATATATAGTTAGTTTTTACAGAAATAAATCAAATACAATCAAGAATGAATTAGTTTTCCAGTTCAAAAGAGAAAACATTTTCACTTTTCTGAACAGCCAATTTATCGTTTAGTTAACGACATACAGGGTGTCCCAATAAACATGTGAATTCAGTGACGAATTCGATGTTGTCTTTTTAAATAATACTTTTATTTATTATAGTGATACCTACTGAGAAAGCTGTAATCTGTAAGAGTTTCGTCTGCTATGTTCACATTTTGTGTGTTTATGTTTTGACTGCATACAGTTGTATTGACAAATCTTCAGTCTTTAACCCTTTTCATAAAATAAACTCTAGCAATAATAATAATATTATGGGTTTGAAATTAGGTATTACAATGCTTATTCATAACAAAGACGATACAATTCGTCACTGAATTCCTATGTTTTTTTTTCTGGACACCCTATAGAAGAAACCATTTTCATAACGATCATATAGAAAAAAAACCGAAGTATTGATAATTTTTTTTATCTTTCGTTTTGCTTACCGTTTTTTGATAAACGGTTAAGATAGTTTTTCGTTCTTTTTTTATGAAAAACTATCAATAACACTACTCACAACCGTTTAAAAGATAATTAAATTTTGTATCCCAGCCGTATTCGTATATTAAAGATGACTTCCGATTTCAATTTGATATTAATATCAAGCTTTCAAACAGCATGGATAGTGGATACACATGAATATGAATACAAAGAGAATTTGCCAATTAAAAGCTTCTCTTTGCTTGCTTGAAAACTTGTAATTTGAAAAAAAACGTATGTGTGAAATAAAAAGTTTTAATATGAAAAACGTCTGCTTTTAGGTAAATTTCAGGTTTGAAAACTTCACTGCAAAAAAAGTGGTGATATTCTAAAATTTTAAATAGTTACCAAAAACATTTATTTATTATCATATTTTATGCATTTGTTATTTGATAAAGTAATAAATATTTGATACTTTCTTAGAACAACTTAATATTAAATAAATGTTTGACATTAATTCGAACCTAGATACAGGGTGTCCCCTAAACATGACAGTTGATACATTTTTGCAGTTTATACCTAAAATTCTGTTCTAAATTTCAAACAATTTGCTCTAAATTTAGAATTATCTGACAACCACAATAAAAAAACATTATGAGAGCATCGCTAAAGTAAAACACATAGTATCAGCAGAAGTAAATATTTAAATTTACTGATAGCGCCGATTAAATGATTCATTACTCTGATTGGATAATGAGATAGATAGAAAGATAGATGTTACCGCCATACTATTTCTATTGGTTCAGAATAGACATCAAACACATGACTGAACCCTGATTGGATCAGGTGTTAATGGACTCGACATACAGGAGTGAAAGTGAAGGCAACGGTTTAGCCTTTTATGTGAAACTTTGTAAAACAGTTTTACACGTTGTGAATAATGTTTAACATTAATATGATGTTTTTAATGGAAAAATTAGTCTTGCTGATCCACCTGATCCACATTCTCCTCAATCCATCCATCTTCGATCCTTTCTCATTCATTATTCATCATCCAACATCAGGTTTATTATTATTTATTATTTTAACTGACTGATGGTAGAATTAGAGCTGTGCACGTTCAGGTTTTTTTAAAAGTTTTCATTAAAGATAAGTTAAAAACTTTTCTTGTAGCCGTTCGTTCATTAGCTTTAAGAACGACGTTATCGGTATTTTCCGTTCTTTCTCAAAGTTTCCGTTCGTTAACGATTTCAATTCTCTTAATATCATTAACAGAAGATATTTTAGAAATTTTTAATTTATATAAAAGTAGCTAGAAAGATTTTAAGACAAAATTAAAATTTTTTTTTAAATGTAGAAAATATTAAAATATATAAAAGTTGTCTTTTATTTACTTTAAGTTTTATGCTGACTGCACGTTGCATCCAGCCCTAAGTATATAATTCTTCGATGTTGAAATGTCAAAACTTCTACTCTTGATTGAAAAATAATAATACGACTGACGACCGTAGGATAATTGTTAAAAGCAAATGAGAAATGGATTACACTGATTTCTTCTCATCAATATTTTACTGGTTAAATACAATTATAATTATTAGGTTTGTTGCACTTTGTGTCATTTAACTACAGTAAGAACCAGAAAACTCTAGAATAGGAAGACGACTTTTAGACTCTAGGTTTGAATAATAACTGATTTAATAAGTTACGGGTAAAACTATTTGGTTTGATAAAACATCAAATACACTTATAAGTATTGTTATGATGTCGTCATCCTATTCCACTGTTATCTGGCTCTTACTGTAAGTTTAAAGAACTTAAAAGATAATATATATTCTGCTCTACATTTTAAACATCTAGACATAATTCTTCTTTTTTATTTAAACCATAAACATTTAAGTATCTGACAAATAACACATATAAACAGTTTTGCAAAATTTGAATAATGCACAACATTTAATCTAAATTTCTACAATGATAGTTGTATGATGAAAACAAGATTGCGGAAGACGACATTACAATTTAAACACCTTTTTTATATGTAAGAGGGAAAAATGCATGCCAAAAAAATGAAGAAAAAAAACTGGTTTACCCTTTCCCTTCTCCCATTGTCTATACTGGCATCATCCAAATATACCTCTTTTATTATTTTAGGAATTTCATTTTTTCACTTAAAATAATGAGAATTATGCCAAAAAACAAAAAAAAATCTTTTTTTAAATACCAAATAAAATTAAGACTCCGAAGCTGAGAGTCTGGGCAGTGACCTGAAACAAAAAAAACTTTTAACAGAATGAATGTAGAATGTAGACGAATTTAATAAGTGAATGACGAATTGCCATAACCCAAAAAACTTTTTTTTTAAAGGGGAACGTCCACATTTCCATACAAAGGGTGGGGGGGAGGGGGCTTTCTGACCTAGTTTTTAGAGATTTCTCTCGGATTTTTTGCATGGAGGCCTGAATTGTGATCTAGTTTTTGAATCAAACACCAAAGTGGGGAAAAAATAATTTCCCCCCTCATTTTTCCAGCATTTTTTGGGCATTTTTTCAAAAACTTTGTGATAGGTCCATGTGGGGTGTCTAAAGTCATGAATATTAGCTCGGGAAACTCAATTCTGGATTCTATAATGCATTTCCCCCTCTCCTTATACCATTTCTTCCCCCTTTCCCGCATTTTCCCCCTCCTAAAGGCCAAAGAAGCCTTCTGACTTTATTGCTAGAGATTTTTCTCTGATTTTTTGCATGCCAACCTGAATTGTGATCTAGTTTTTGAATCAATGTCTTCCTATTCCATTGTTTTCTGGTTTATCACTGTACAATTATTTCATTCAATTCGATTTGAAATTTCATTTTATGCAATATATATACATCTAGAATTAGTTTTAATGTCAGTTCTTTATTTTATGCAATATTTTTGCTTATATTGAACAAGCTCATTAGTATGCCGCATACATCATAATGTGTTTTTTATGTACAGTAGGGACTAAAAAACTCTGAAAAGGAAGACGACTTTTAGACTCTATGTATGAATTTAAATAGTCCAAAAACAAATGAGGATAATCAGACCCAAGGCCAAATTTAAAGAATTTGAGCCGCGGCTTAAATTTGAGACGCAGCGCAAATATGGTTGGTTCCACTTAAATTGTATTCAATGTTTCAAGATTTAAGCCGGCGCTCAATTGAAACCGATTTTTGGCGGATTTGAGACGCGGCTCAAATTCATTAAATTCGGACTCCATTTAACTTAATAATTTTTACCTGAAGAAATAATACTGACTATCCGGGTTTTCATCCAAGCTTGAGACAAACCTACATTTAAAACTTAATGAATATCTCTTTTATTAGTAAATAATGGAACAAATTTTAGATTTAATGAATATCTCTTTTATTAGTGAATAATGGAAAAAATTTTAGATTTAATGAATATCTCTTTTATTATAAAATAATAGAACAAATTTTAGATTTAATGAATATCTCTTTTATTATAAAATAATAGAACAAATTTTAGATTTAATGAATATCTCTCTTATCTGTAAATAATGGAACACATTTTTTAACATTATATGTGTAAAAGTTACGTTTGCTAGAGTATATTTATGCAAACTGTGCTACACTGTTTTGTTATTTTTGAAAATATTGTTTGATGTGTCTCTAACGTTTCTGCAATCTGCATCTTAACAGTGAAGAGGAACAACTGAACTGTTTTTCTTTACAAGAATTTCTCCTTTTACTAAGGATAACAATAGTATGCAATCAAAACATAAACAAGCATATTATTATTATTATTATTATTATTATAACCACTTTTTAACCTTTTAATAAACAATTTTCTATCTTTTGTTGCAAGGAAATGTTACCTATTTGATACCCTTGAATTGAAGGAGTCAAGTCCACCAACTAACCAAAGGTTCGAAGACGACGGTTTATGTCGGCTTCTAACTCGTCGGATTCTGTCCAATCTGTAACATTTAAAAGTACAGTAACTCCGTTCCTTGCATGACCATAGGCCGTCCTTATGACATACTTTGGCTGCCAGGTGTCTCAGGTAAGATGCTTATAAAAAAGATAAATAATTAGGACGCACTGTAATTACTGTACAGTCGGTTGGAAAGGAACGGCCCCTGCATGACATAAACATAATGCTGAAATGCTCTACTTTTATAGAATAACATGTCCTATCAATAATGCATGGTTCCTTGCACACACAAATATCTACAGAGTACAGAGCTGAAAACTTTAGAATGGTTAATATCGAGATTAATGCTTGTTTTTCTCTTTTTCTTAATATCGAGACTAACCTACTCTTGTACTTGTATCCTGAAAAGTGTATAAAATTCAACCAATCAGAGTTGCGTATTCGAAGCCGATAAATTTGAAACTTTGCGCGCCATTTAAGATTATTTACAGGACCAGGAGACACTCTCTAATTTGGAAAAACCGGTTTTTTTTTCTCTATGATATATCCAAGAAAGAAGAAAATCAAAAGTGTGTCCATCGGATACTCAGATTAAGTAATCGGTATTAGGGATATCTCAGTTTCAGTTAATTATTACTTGGTAATAAAGAGTGAAACATATTTTTATTCATTTTATTTTAACAAAATTTGGTCAAACTTTCATAAAATTTATGGAAACCATGATTCAAAATCATCTTGAACGATCGGGAAATTTTGAGAACGTTAATTCTTATTGAATTTTTCAGTTGGAACATCTTATTCTTTACCTAAGTGAATCTGAATCTGGATTTGCCGAATATTCCAATGAATATTGTGCAGCTGTATTGTCCAAAGAACTTGCCCGTTCTATGCTACAGCTTCGAGTTCTAAAACTATTTAATAGATTTAAATTTAAAAAAAAAATCTACTAATACTTCTTATATCGGCCAAAATTTTCAAAAAAAATTTAAAAAACTGTTCAATTCTATCAAATCTTGGAATTCTATTTTCCCTTGCAACTTTGAAAAATTATTTTTTTAATTCATGAAATACAATTGAAGAATAAATTCAAATTAATGCAAGCTTTCAATTTCCAGTCAAGGTGATCAAGTTTAATTTTCTTTTTTCTTGATCAATCAAAAATTAAAAATACGTTTAATGTACATTATGTATCTTTTAAAATTAATCTTTACCATATCCCATGTTTTATTATATTAATATATTTATTGTCTTTTTAGAAGTATAATGATGGAAATATTGCCTGTTTAGAAATGTACATTAGTTAAAAATCATTGGACTCTGGGATTCTTTATCAATTTACATTTACAAATGAACTCTTATGTAAATATATTACCTAACATGTAGCGGAGATTTTGTAGGGGAGTTTGGTACACTATTAGTAGAACTTGTTTTATTTAGTGGACCAGATTTTTTAGCCCACATCCCTCGATGATGTTTTACAGAACTTGTTGATTGTTTTTGTAAATCTTTTATGTCTCTTGGTAGAGTATCCCGATTAGACAGGTGTCTTGAACTATTTGTGTCTGGTCTGGAACTGTTAGTGTCTCGTCTTAAACTGCTTGTGTCTCTTTTAAGGCTGCTGGTGTCTCGTCTTGAACTGCTAGTGTCTCGTCTTGAACTTTTTATAGTAAACTTTAATTTCAAACGAAGCAGATATTAGCAGAATTCTGAACCGATGAATAGATAAGAAAAATGTACATGTCTCATACCAATTATTTTGAAAAGATCAAAAATACGTGTTGTGGTGCTGTTTCACCTTGGGGTTTGCGGGGTTCCTGAGATCCCCCTCCCCCCCCCCAGGCAGGATGGGTACCGAGCACCAAGAATCCCAAAGTGGGAAATATTGGAATATTGCAATACTATAAAAATATTTGTGTACAATTTTGTATTTATCTTTCAAGAAAACAATTATAAAAGATTTGTTCAAAATATTAAACTCTAATTCAATGTATTCCAAGTAAAATTATCAGGTCAATTACAGCTTTAGTAAACCAGCCGTTTGAAAACAAACCCCATTAACCCTATCCCTGCTGGGGTACTTGAAAACCTGGATATGCTGGGGGGGGGGTCAATTTGACCCCCCCCTCTAAATTCCATGTTTTATGTCCAAATATGACAAATGATACATCATCAGAAAGCTCTTGTGCTCTACTTTTAGAATCTGCAAAAAATTGCAAATTTGCAAAAATTGAATTTTTTATCGCAAAATCCTGTTATACAGTAAAAATGTTTGCAAAAAAAATTAGTCCAAAAAATGAAAAATTATACAATTTTGAAAAGCCCTTGACCATGCCATTTTAAATATGCAAAAATTTTTGCAAAATTTTAGACAGGTTGTTTGCAAAAAATAGCAATTTTTTTTCGCAAAATTTGTGCAATCCCTTTCCTTATGTCATAGGCTTTCTAAAAAGCAAAATTTTATCAAAATCTGACAAGTGAAAGTGGGTCAAAACAAAGATTTAGTTTGTTACAGGCAAACGAAGTCATTCAGGCAGTGTGCCTGAGGACTCAGGCAGTTAGTATTAAAGCCCAGTTTTAGGCCTAAAGTGAGGGCTTTGGGTATGTAAGAAAAGCCAGAAAATTTTAACAGCCTCAGACCAATACTTTTTGAGTTATGTAAAAAAAAAACTACAGGGGGGGGGGGTCAAATTGACCCCCCCCCCCCAGCAGGAATAGGGTTAAAATAAGCACTCAAGGATTTATTTACAAATCAATTGAAAAATTATTTTGAATTAAAAAAATTTCCTGATATGCATCTGTTGAGAAGACAAGGAAAGCGGAGTTCTGGGTAAACTATCCAAAGAGTTTTGAGCCCTAAACAAATTATGAGATAAAGGGACTGTTTAGGTTAAAATGAAATATACAGTACAAAATTTAGGAGTTGATTCCAACCACTATTAGTTCTATCTGATGTCCCTGTCTCGAAAAATTGATGCATAAAACTGTGCCCAAGTTATGCCAAAACTCAAATATACATATGATCACACAGGTCTGCCGCTTTAGTAGTCGTAAATTGACGGTACATTCCAAACTAGGACTGCAAAGGTTGGCCCAGCTCGAATATTCAAATGTACTACGGTTATGCGTATGATATGGTATTTGAATAATGAAGTTTAAACAGATCATATTTAGCAAATACAGGACAAAACTGAAAATTACGATAACCCAGGTGCCTAGACATTTTTGGTATGCTCCTATTTTGATTTGAATGTTATACTTTTTCATAGGTTTCCTTTAGCATTATACGTTGCACTTTTGATGAAGGTTTTTTTTGGCCGCTAGGTGTCTCTGCCAAGTAAAATCCCTGAAATATCGAGAGCAGAGACACCTAGTGAAAATAAAATTTTTTATCATTTTAACATAACAGTCCTATTTACAAAACATGTGCCTAAAGTTTTAAAACATAAGCAGACCTCATGAACTACACAAAATTAAGTTCCTTATTTGAACTTTTTCAACTAGTTCACCCCCAAACTATCAAACTAATTTTGTTCCTCCAAAAAATCCGTAAAATTGTTGACCAGTGAATTTCCTAGGGATCAGTCACGAGAATCTCCTCTTGAAAAATTCTCCAAACCGAGAAGAGGGAGAGTTTGCAAATATTTCCAACTTTTGCTCCCTGGGTACAGGTTTTCACGAATACATTCCAAAAATATATATTTTATTTTAGATGAGATTTAGGCATAAAATTCAATGAAATTATCAACAACAAAAAAACAGAAATTTTTCCAGCTCTCAAATACATCTTAAAAATAAAGTTCTTTTTTTCCTCTTAAAATGCATGTGAGTAAAATAACTTTTCAAATTTAAGTTTTTGGCAAAATTGTTAAGCAGTAAGCACATACCAAAATTGTCACTATTTTTGCGAAATTAGATTCTAAAATCGTTATTCATAACTAATTCTAATTGTCAAAAACCAACTTGAGTCAGCCAATCAAGAGCTTTAAGAAAGTTTTGATAATAACAAACAACCTTTACTACTCTCAAGGTTAATTTATGGTCAGTAAAAAAACCAAACAGTTTAGAGAGAAAAAATATTTAAAGCAGAAAACCCTTGAATGATAAAGTGTTCAAATCATTTAAAACTGTTTTGATGTAACACTCAATGCAATTCCTTGATTGCATTTCAAGAACCGCATTGCAAATTTCAATTAAAGTCAAGTTACACCAACTTATAGAAATTATGCAGTATCCAGCATCAAGTGAATTGATAAGGGATCGTTCATTTGTTTTTATTTCTCAGGAGATGCTTAATGTAGTGTTCGTAAAAAAATCGATTTTGATGGTCTTAAACCCAAGAGCGTAGTATACACGAAATTGTAGTATTCTACTCGGATTATTTAAATTGAAAAATTTCAAGGTTTTTTTTTCTGAAGACAACATTCTCATATTTTCCAGGAATGTTCAAAAAAGCCGTAAAAACAAGTTAAAAAAATATAAATAAAACAAAAAAAATAGAAAATATCAACTAATATAATTTGAATGCATAGAATTGAATTCAAAAACTGTATATTTTAATATCTGTGTTTCCCAGAAAATACTAAACAGGGAATAAAAATCTATTTGGATTTGTCCTACTTTTAAAAAAATACATTGAATTGAAGATGCAAAAGTTTGTTGGACAGTTTCACGAATAAATTGGCACTTTTTTGGGTATTAATGGCCAAATAAATTTGAAACCTTATTACCTCTAAGATTTTTTTAGTTTTTAAATTTTGAAATATGAATAAAGATAATTTTAATGGTTATAAGGTTATTTTTTTACGTTTAAAACATTTTCAATCAATACATCCTACAGAGTATAGACTATTATATGGATATGGATTCTTTATTCCCCACCTGGGTTGTTAATCCATTTTAAAACGATCGTTAAACGATCGCTTTTTGTTTTGTTTTTCAATCGTTTTCAAAAACGATAGCTTCGTTTTCTGAAAAAAAACAATCGTTTTAAAAACGAACCACTCCTCTTTAACTTTAGAAAACGAATTTTGTAAAAAAGATTAGTGACCGTTTTTTATTCAATTATTTTTATTTTCGAAAAACAATTGTTTTTAAAAAAAAATTGCCGTTGATTAATATGTTAATGATCGTTAACGAAGGGTCGTCATTAACGATCTTTAACAAAGGTTCGACGTATACGATCGTTTTAAAAAAACATCTTTTTAAAAGTTCTTAAAAACGATCATTTCGTCTTCGAATTTTTTATTGAAATTGAAATCGAAATTGAAAACATTAACATCCCTGCATACACCTCTTTGAATTCATCTTGTAGATAAACTTTTTTTATTTTTGAAAAATGTTAAATAAATGGATGAACAGATAAGTCAAAGAATATTTCTTGTTTTCCTTTACATCCTATTAGGGTTTGCAGCAAAAAAGAAAAATCGTTTTGAGAAAATTACAAATTTTTCGCGAAACCAAATTTTTTTACTTTTTTCGTATTTCATTTGAAATTTCGCTTCAATCTGTTTCGTAATAAAATGCAAAATTTTTGCAAACTAGAAAATACAGCTTCAACACCAAAAGGTTTTCGCAAAAAAAATTTTACGAAAATATTTCGTAAAATGCGAAATTTTTTCAGAAATGCTTCATAAATATTTTATTAATTAAGCTACAAGGCTAAAATTTTTAAATTTGTGTATGCACTAAAATGTTTCACATGTTAATATCAGTCAAAAAAAAAATTATTTTGAACATTTTTCTGACATATTTTTTGAACTTTTTTAAAATCGTCCTTAGCACTCTATCCATTGAAGTAAGAGGTCTACTTTTTTAATGAGCAGGCCTTGAAAAGTTGGACTGAGGACATGTAGCAAACTACCCTTTCTCAACTCTGAGGGTAAAATTATGAGGCGGGGGGGGGGGTGGAGAACCCCCCCCATTATTAGAACTATTTCCTTTGTCTAAGCCTAGGTCTACCCCTCCTAGAACTAGAACTATTACCTTTGTCTAACCCTAGGTCTACCCCTCCTAGAACTAGAAATATTACCTTTGTCTAAGCCTAGGTCTACCCCTCCTAGAACTAGAACTATTACCTTTGTCTAACCCTAGGTCTACCCCTCCTAGAGCTTGAACTATTTTGATTATTGTTCCGTCCATGTTGTATCTCAGGTCCATCCACTCTGTCCAAATCTAAAATGAATAAAATCTATTTATCACATTTAAAGGCTTTAATAGTCCTTTAAAACATTAGTCTTAATAACTTAAATCCAAAGTAATCCAAAGCTTACGCTCGTTCAATCGCTCACTAGTCCAATTGATATGACACCACAAATGCGGGAAAATTAAAAACCGGTTTTCAAAAGTTAAAGAGTGCATCTCTAATCTCTAGAAGTTATCTAAAGAATAAATCAGTTTTGAGATTAGCAAAAAAGAGAGGATCAAGTAATAATATCGATATTCACCATTCTAAACTGTTTTGCTCTGGTGTAATCAAAAGCTTACCCCGTCAGGTTCCAAAGATAAAGGGATTAGAAAATTTCATTAACATGCAAGAATTTCTTTGTTTTGTGTGCAATCAGTTCATACAATTTATTTGAAATTTAAGGCATTCGATATACTTATTACTAACCTCAAACTATAATTTTGGGACCCCTACATTTTTGCAACCGGATGGTGCCAACCATTAAAATTTCAAACATTGCCTATTTTATCCAGAATTCAAAGTCCACGAAATAATTTTGAAAAATTAAGGGATTTGAAAATTAGAGTTTTTAGAAAACTAATAAAATAATGTTTTTGCCACAAAATAAATGTTCTAAATCTTTAAATTTGCAACCTGGTTGTGTAAGCATTCCAAACTTATATGTTTTGAGCTAACACAATGCATAAAGTTCGGAATATCATTAAGGACTACAAAATTGGGTTGCAAAGGTATTGGGATTAGAAAAAAGAGTTTGTGGATAGACTCAATTTCGTTGCAAACCTTCTACGCTCCACATTTCACGTTTTTTACCTATTTGAAGTATTTCATCTAAATCTCTCGTCTCTTCAAGTTCTTCCCTCCAGGTTACTCGTTTCTTACTTGGAGTATCATCCTCTTCTAAATATTTAGAGATAAAGGGACTGTACACGTAATATTTAGAGCTAAAGGGACTGTACTCGTAATATTTAGAACTAAAGGGACTGTACACGTAATATTTAGAGCTAAAGGGTCTGTACACGTAATATTTAGAACTAAAGGGACTGTACACGTAATATTTAGAACTAAAGGGACTGTACACGAAATATTTAGAACTAAAGGGACTGTACACGTAATATTTAGAACTAAAGGGACTGTAAACGTAATATTTAGAACTAAAGGGACTGTACACGTAAAATTTAGAACTAAAGGGACTTTACACGTAATATTTAGAACTAAAGGGACTGCACACATAATATTTAGGACTGTAGTGACTGCACACGTGATATTTAGGACTAAAGGGACTGTACACGAAATATTTAGTACTAAAGGGGCTGTACACGTAATATTTAAAAGTAAAGGGACTGTACACGTAATATTAAGGACTAAAGGGACTGTACACGTAATATTTAGGACTAAAGGGACTGTACACGTAATTTTAGAACTAAAGGGACTGTACACGTAATATTTAGAACTAAAGGGACTGTACACGTAATATTTAGAGCTAAAGGGACTGTACACGTGATATTTAGGACTAAAGGGACTGTACACGTAATATTTAGAACTAAAGGGACAGCACACGTAGTATTTAGAACTAAAGGGACAGCACACGTAGTATTTAGAACTAAAGGGACTGCACACGTAATATTTAGAACTGAAGGCACTGTACACGTATTTTTTAGAACTAAAGGGACTGTACACGTAATATTTAGGAATAAAGAGACTGTGCACGTAATATTTAGAACTAAAGGGACTGCACACGTAATATTTAGAACTAAAAGGACTGTACATGTAATATTTAGAACTAAAGGGACTGTACACGTGATATTTAGGACTAAAGGGACTGTACACGTAATATTTAGAATTAAAGGGACTGTACACGTAATATTTAGGACTAAAGGGAATGCACACGTAATATTTAGAACTAAAGGGACTGTACACGAAATTTTAAGTAACAATCTAGTTTGACAGGGACATTCCCGTTTCACAACTGTCTCTTTAAACCTTAGTATGTTCAGGGTAGGTTGGGAAATTTCTGTATTTCTTGCTGAAAATTTATCATTTTCATATTAATATAAAAATGACTTGGAAAACAATAGAAAATTTTTAAACATTGTTAAAATTAATGTATATTTGTAAGAATTGGTTTTTTTTAAATAAGAACATTTCGCAATTTGACCTTGTCATAAATTCAGATTTTTTATTCAACCCAATGTCGTTTTAGCTTGGAGGGAGGAGTATGTGTTAGTTAGAAAGAAAAAACATTTTATTTCAATTTTTTATTGGAAATTAGTCTTTAGATTTTAAATCTAATGGGTGTTGGTTTTAATTTGAAAATTAAACCTGAGATGTTTGGAGTTTTTATCTGAAAGCTTCCATCAATAATATCTTCAATTTCATCCTCTTCAACACGTACTCTACTATACTCATCCCTGAACAACAAGATTGAGCCCGAAATTTAGAAGAGTATCATCGAAAGAAAGTTTCAATTTTGGGGTCTTAACATTTGTGTAGATTTTGATCTAAGAGATTCGGAAAAGTGGAGAATATGAATTAAGAAACTAAATAAAATAACATTTCATTACAAAAATGCTGATATCCACAAAACTGCCTAACCCCATTCGTTTCAAAACTGGTTTTCTTAACGATACACTGTCTCAAACAGATTCTAGTACAATAGATGGCAACGTAGAATTTGTTCACTCTCAGTACAGCTGTATTTTTATGTCTCACAGTGTCACACAAAACTATCATTAAAAGTCATAATTTTAAATAAAGTGCTTATCTTACAGTAAATAAGACAATTGTTTGTGTTCTTTATTTTCTTTTTTTACACTATATTATTTAATCTTGGAAAATATGTCAACTTATGTGAGAAAATTTCGTTTTCCTTGTTATATATGACACTTGTGACGTCGTGTATAATTATTTCATTTTTCTGTTGCCACCTATTGTACTGGATAATCTATTTGCACTGTCTGAAGTTTTGGGCTCTGTGGGTTTTAACATTTTAAAGAAATGACTACGGAGTATTATGAGCTGCACTTCTACAGTTTGCACGTCAACTCTTCAAACGAACTTGTTGAAAGAAGAAACACATGATTGCCCCCCCCCTCTTCCTTAAGATCTCAGAATATCCCCACCTTTTACATGATTGCCCCCCCCCCTTCCTTAAGATCTCAGGATATCCCTACCTTTTTTAAAGTTAAAAATAATTAACATGCTTTGAAAATTCAAAAATTATAATGCCAAAAAAATGTAGGATTATCAAAGTATTACTTATGTTTTACAAAGTTTTTAAACGATATCTTTACTAATTATATCTAATTGTGTGTATATCTTACTTTAAGAACAAGTTTTCACAATTATTTGAGTCAACTCCCCGCATTGTTGTTAGCAATCGTCTCCAATTCTCTTTTGCATGTCTTTTCCGACCTAAATTTTTAAAAAGAATTTTAAAATCTAACTTTTTCTTTTTTCCAAAAACTAAATTGTTGGTTAATATTTACCATTTTTGGAAGACTTAAGCGGAGATGAAGGAACCTGGAAAATTAAAAAGTTTAAAAATGGTTTTCTTATTTACAATGCAAAAGTGCTTTTTCAGCTTTTAAATCGGAAACAAGTTGAATAGTTCTAATATAATAGTTTATAATTAACAAACGATTTTTATCAATTCTTATTAGATAAGAAGAACTTAAAATGAAAATGATATGGTTTTAACAGTGCTAAATACCTGCAAAGAAGTACTTTGATGTTCATCAGTAGAGCAACAAACTGTATTTAAAGGTATAAATCCATTTCCAGTTTCAGGGTCGTTAACCTTGTTGATACAACCTTCCTCATCCTTTTCTTTGTCTCTAATGTTAGCAATTGAAATTAGATTTAACAATTATTTTTGAAGTTTTGATGATCATACAGTGGTAACCAAAAAACAGTTGAATTATTTTCGTTTTCTTTATTCTTTTATTTTGCAATAATTGTAGATTTCAAAATCTTGATTTAATTTTATTCTCAGAAATATACCACAGATGACAATTACAAATAACATAATCCTTGTCGAAATTTTATAATTTATAAAAATGAAAAATGACGCAAATAAGTTCACAGTTGTTGTGGTTGTCAATCGGAGTGTAAGCTATAATTAAACTTGTATATTCTTAAATCTTGAGAAGATTGTATTCATGTCTCAGATTATCAGATTACTGACTGTTTTCTAAAATCTCTGTTAAATTTATTTTGTATAAATATTTTCTTTTTTATTCACCTCTTAACTCCTTCAGCACTTTCTCCTGCAGAAGATTCTTCAACAACAAAAAAAAAATTAAAAAGATATTAAATTCGAATTGTTATATCTTTGCAACCAAATATTTTCAACCTTTGATATTTTATGCTTTTAATTCTGTTAGATCATGCAGTCAAACACTGAAATATCAAAGCTTTGCACTCAAATTTTCAAAAAAAACCTTGATGTTTTCTATCGAAGTCCTAATCGAACCCTTATGTGCAGATTTGCTTTTTTTGTTTGCTCGTGCAATTGCAACATTTCCATTTATTCTGGAGACTACTGTATGAATAGTCTATTCAACTGGTGTTTAACAATACTGACTGTATTTATGAAACCTGCCAAGTGCAGACCAAAGTTAAATTTTCCAGGAGAAGTTTTCATAAAATTCATATTTCCCCAGCACTGAAGAGTTCCAAAGTATTGAAAGATATACTTTGTTATAACTTTTTGATTGTTAAAAGTTTCAACAAAGTTTCCCCTACGGTTAGTTTGGACTCAATCTTGAAATAAATAAATTTTTAAAATGAAATTTATATTTTAAGATTTTGATTTTTTTACCAAAGAAATACGCTCAAACTTAAGAACCAGCATGCAGGCTGCAGCCTATATAATCCATGAGTAATGTTTACTTTTAATTAATATGAAAATTAAGGGACCAGGCATCTCAAGTCTTATACGTCCGATTCACAGTGGCACCCTTTAAATTTTGTGCAAGCAATAATGATGGAGTTATTAATATTTTTCATTCTAAAATTAACACATGATGGATTGGGTTTTCTTTAAAAGTTACTTTCGGATTTATTACAGAAGAGGTAATAAAGTAAGTTCGAAGAGTTTAAATATTTGCAGAATATAAAATTGACAATATTACTTATGTTTAACCCTATCCCTGCTGGGATACTTGAAAACCAGGATACGCTGGGGGGGGGTCAATTTGACCCCCCCCCTCTAAATCCCATGTTTTATGTCCAAATATGACAAATGATACATCATTAGAAAGCTCTTGTGCTCTACTTTTAGAATCTTTCTGGTTAGGCGGGTCCAAACTACATAGTAAATTGTGATTTTTTATTTGTATTATCTCGTGCTTTGTAGTTGAATAAAAATATGAATGAAATATGTAAAAAAAACTACAGGGGGGGTCAAATTGACCCCCCCCCCACAGCAGGAATAGGGTTAATACGACGTTTAAATCAAGGATTCAAACGGATTCTATTTAAAAAAATAGAATTTACCTAAGACGGCCTGACCAGTATCAATAAGTTGATCAACATCATCAGAATTATTATTCTCATCCTCTATACAAATATGGCAATTTTTATAAATTAAATAATTTTTTGAGTTTTGAGATAAAAAACACATTAAAGGATAACATTCGGTTCAGAATTATCGAAAACTTAATATAAACCTGCCTTGAACGTTTTGATTCTGTTTATATTTGATTGCAACATACAGGACAAGACCATCATCCGGAACATCGTCTTCAATGTCTTCAAATAAATTAATTAATGAGCAAATTCAATTTTTAGTTTCGTTGGTGAAGGTGGGGAAAGCTTACCTGAAGGTGGCTAAAATTTACCAAACAGGTGGGGGAAGTTTACCTGAAGATGGGGAAAGTATACCTGAAGATCGGGAAAGTTTACCTACAGGTGGTGGAAGTTTACCTGAAGGTGCGGAAAGTATACCTGAAGATGGGGAAAATTTACCTAAGGTGGTGGAAGTTTACCTGAAGGTGGGGAAAGTATACCTGAAGACGGGGAAAATTTACCTACAGGTGGTGAAAGTTTACCTGAAGGTGGGGAAAGTATACCTGAAGATGGGGAAAATTTACCTACAGGTGGTGAAAGTTTACCTGAAGGTAGAGAAAGTATACCTGAAGATGGGGAAAATTTACCTACAGGTGAGGAAAGTTTACCTGAAGGTGGGGAAAGTTTACCTGAAGGTAGGAGAAGTTACTTAAAGTAGGGGAAAGTTTATCTAAAGGTGGTGAAAATTTACCTGAAGCTGGGGGAAGTTTACCTGAAGGTGGGGAAAGTTTACCTGAAGCTGGGTAAGTTACCTAAAGTTGGGGATAGTTTATCTAAAGGTTGAGAAAGTTTACATAAAGGTAAGGAATGTATACNGTGGGGAAAGTTTACCTGAAGGTGGGGAAAGTTTACCTGAAGGTGGGGAAAGTTTATCTAAAGGTGGGGAAAGTTTACCTATAGGTGGGGAAAGTGTACCTGAAGGTGGGGAAAGTTTACCTGAAGGTGAAGAAAGTTTATCTAAAGCTGGGGAAAGTTTACCTGAAGGTGGGGAAAGTATACCTGAAGGTGGGGAAAGTTTACCTGAAGATGGGGAAAGTATACCTGAAGGTGGGGAAAGTTTATCTAAAGGTGGGGAAAGTTTACCTGAAGGTGGGGAAAGTATACCTGAAGGTGGGGAAAGTTTACCTGAAGATGGGGAAAGTATACCTGAAGGTAGGGAAAGTTTATCTAAAGGTGGGGAAAGTTTACCTGAAGCTGTGGAAAGTTTATCTAAAGGTGAAGAAAGTTTATCTGAAGGTAGGGAGAGTTTATCTAAAGGTGGGGAAAGTTTACCTGAAGGTGGAGAAAGTTTATCTAAAGGTGGGGAAAGTTTACCTGAAGGTGGGTAAAGTTTATCTAAAGGTGGGGAAAGTTTACCTGAAGCTGTGGAAAGTTTATCTAAAGGTTGGGAAAGTTTATCTGAAGGTAGGGAAAGTTTATCTAAAGGTGGGGAAAGTTTACCTAAAGCTGTGGAAAGTTTATCTAAAGGTGGGGAAAGTTTATATGAAGGTGGGGAAAGTTTATCTAAAGGTTGGGAAAGTTTATCTAAAGGTGGGGAAAGTTTATCTGAAGGTAGGGAAAGTTTACCTGAAGCTGGGGTAAGTTTACCTTAAGTCGGGACAAGTTTATCCAATGGTGGGGAAATTTTTAAAGGTAGGGAAGGTTTACCTGAAGTTGGGGGAAGTATACCTGAAGGTGGGGAAAGTTTACCTGAAGGTGGGGAAAGTATACCTGAAGGTGGGGAAAGCTTACCTGAAGCTGGGGTTAGTTTACCTAAAGTCGGGACAAGTTTATCTAAAGGTGGGGAAATTTTAATTAAAGGTGGGGAAAGTTTACCTGAAAATGGTGGAAAAGTTTGACCTCTTCCCCATGAGAGAATGACAGCTCTGTCATTAGATATTTTTGTTTGTCCAACATTTAGTTCCTGTATCCTGTCAGTATTCACTCCTCTTAGTGCCAGCTCAACCTTATATATATTCATTGATTCATAGTATTCACTCCTCTTAGTGCCACCTCAACCTTATATATATATTCATTGATTCATAGTATTCATTTGTGTGATTTATCCCTTAAATAATTGTTTCTTGAGACCTATAATTAAAGATTATGAGGCGGGTTAAATATTACTATTGTCATAAATATGATTACACTTCATATAAATTGTAGTAGTCAGGATACACAGAAAATACAGCGTGTTTAAAACAGGGGATACAGCGTGTTTAAAACAAGGGATTCAGGGTGTATAAAACAGGGGATATAGGGTGTATAAAACATGGGATACAGGGTGTTTAAAACGGGGGATACAGGGTGTATAAAACAGGGGATACAGGGTGTTTAAAACAGGTGATATAGGGTGTATAAAACAGGGGATATAAGGGTGTATAAAACAGGGGATACAGGGTGTTTAAAACAAGGGATATAGGGTGTATAAAACAGGGGATACAGGGTGATTAAAACAGGGGATACATGGTGTTTAAAACAGGGGATACAGGGTTTTTAAAACAGGGGATACAGGGTGTATAAGACAGGGGATATAGGGTGTATAAAACAGGGGATACAGGGTGTATAAAACAGGGGATACAGGGTGTTTAAAACAGGGGATACAAGCTGCGTGCCCTAACCATGCAAAACAGTAGGCTTAAAACAATGTGTCCATTCAATTAAAATTGTATTAAATACAAAGGAATTGAGTCTTTGGAACAAAATCAAATATTTAAACCTCAATATCTTTAGAATTCGATGTTATAAACCTTTGATATTTCAAACTCAGATTATTTGATCTAACAGAATTCATAGTTTGACAAATCTAAGGTCTGCAACATTTGGTTCCAGAGACATAGTGATTAGAAAATCAGAGTTTGTGGCAAAGACTCATTTCCTTTGCAAGACTTCTTTGTTAATGATTGTCGATGAGTTTAACATCTGCTATGGTGCTACAAACATAGTTATAAAGCCAGATTTAAAAATTACAAAGATTTGGACCACATTGGTTCTTAAGAGGTCATGTGAAAAATACGAGATTGCTTGCTAAACCGTAGATTACCACAAAAAAAACTTCAAGACCCTTACCATGAACCTCTAAAACACGCTTAAATGAATATAGTTTGAGTCTACAGATAAGATATTTAAGACTGTGAGAAGCAACGCAAATAGGATTCGGGAGAAAGTTAAAGATGTTAAATATAGCATATAATCGACAATAGCTATATGTAGTAAGAGAAATTAAAATAATATAGTAAACTACAGGGCTAGGATGTTTAGAAGTACCCTTAACAAATCTATGGAACAGAGTATCTTAATCTTAAAACACAAGATACTTGTCTAGAAACCTTGTAATTCTATATTGCTTATATGCTTATTTAGTAAAATATATTCTAACTTATTGATTCGGACAAAGGTCGACATTAGGTTAGCATTGGTTTTTGCAAAGTAATTGGCAACATTTTCATAGATTTTTGCTTGAAAAATTAAATCTCAGTTCGCTATTTATTAAAACTTTCAGGAGTTTTTTTAGGAGTTTGTTTTCTTATCTAATTATTAGGTCTGGTTTTACCTTATGTAAATAAAAATTGTTAAAATTCCATTCCATTCATTTTTTAATCTTTTTGTTTTTCAGCTTTTCTTTGGGACAAGTTTATATTTGTGATTGCATGAGAACTATACTCCAACTTTTACTAGGGAACTCTACAATAAAGGATATATATTAAACAAGGTTATACTAACCTTGAAAAACAAATCTGCGACGCATTAAAAAATACATTTGATAAATTGCAATTATACAATTTATCTATATATAAATTTGGCTTGGGTGTCTGTTTGTTTGTTTGTCTGTATCTAATAAACGTCAAAACGGCTGAACCGATCGGGCCCAAATTTTTTTTGGGACTTCACGTGACCACAGGGAAGGTTTATGAATGATAAAAATTTTTAAAAAATGTGTTTCAAAGGTTTTTAATTTAAAAGAAAAATTAAATTCTTGAAAATCCGCGAATTCTTTTTTTAAATCCGCAAATTTTTTTTCTTCTTTGTTTTAAAATGTAAATAAAAAGAGTATGTTCACTATTTAAATAGAAGATGGGCGCCCTAAAAGCCTAGTATATATATATGCAATTTATCTATATATATATGCAATTTAAATATATAAATAGGCAATGCAATTACTTGGTGAACCCTGTGTATTACAATCGACCATGTAATATTCTCGATACAGAAATCCTTTTCCGGTTCATCAATGTGGAATTAGCGTTACTACTTCCCCCCCCCCCTCCCCGCCCACTGAGAGGGGTATAGGCAATTAGTTTGGGTATATCAGTCGAAACGCTTACATCTCCGGCCTGCCTGACTCCATCATGGAGCTACAGATATCTAGCCTTGCAGCGAATGCTAACATCTAAGCCAACAATGTTCCAAAACTTATCGTGAAACCAAGAGCTGACGAAGTCCTCACCCTAGCACCAATGATACAAAGCTTATCGTGCCCTAAGGTGACAGAGCTCTTAACCCCAGCACCGATGATAAAACTGCGATCTCCCCCGGAACTGAATCCTGGATGTGAGCGAACCTGCTGTCAAGATACTGTTGACCTGCTTAGCACCAACATGAAGCTCCAACTGTTCCCTGTGATCATGATCTACATCGTCCAATAGTACCTTTTTTATTTTCCAACCACTTAAGATAGTCTTCCGACATGAAACTATTTAAAAACTTTTTATATTTCAAATAATTCAATAAAGTTATGGAATAGCCGTTATTTCTTTTATTTAGCTGACTTTTATGTCAAAAGGTTGATATTTAAGAATATGACAAAAAAAAACAAATTAAAAATGTCAAGAAAGATTGAAACTCAATCTTTGAACTTGATTTAGCAACAAAAGCAAACCCTGCATGCAATGTTCCAGGGTAGTTTTTTCCACGCTAATAATATTTTTTGTTTGGTTTGGAAAGAAACTTAAAGGGACTGAAGGTGCAATTTCAAGTGAATTTAAAGGAATTGAATCTTTATCACAAACTCAACTTTTCTAATCCCTATATCTATGGAACTTGATGTTGTAGACTTTTGATATTTCAAACTAAGAATTTGATGCAACAGAATTCATAGTTTGAAATATCTAAGGTCTACGACAATGGATTGCAGAGATATAGGAATTAGAAAATCAGAGTTGTGTCAAAGACTCAATTCCTTTGCATGGTTCCGGGTTCACGACGATACCCTTAAAATATGTTTCGGCTCAAGAATTTCAACTTTTGAACAAAAGTATGACACTATTAAATCCGTGATATTTACAAAACAACCCTGAAACCAGGGTCGCAATTTTATATTGCAACCCTAAGGGTGCAAACTAAATAATTGCGAATTTTTTTGCCAAGAAGTTGCGGGTTTACAACTCCGAAAACATTAATTAGATTTGATTTCTTAACTCAAAAATATGTTAAATTTTTAAAACCTAAAAAAAAGGTAGATGTAAATTGAAATTTTATATTCTGTTAAGAAGTGGAAAAAATCTCCAAAATAATTGTTAAAGTTGAAGTAATTACATATCTCTTCATTCACGTGAGGCAACAATTGATGCAATAAACATTGAAGGTAATTTCACATTGCCTTTGCTTCCCTCAACCTTGTTGGGAAACCTCAACAATGTAATATTCCCTCCTATATTCAATGCATCCCTATTGCCTCCATATAATGAAGATAAATAGTATTAATTTGGATTTCAGATGCAATTGAGTTAATTGCCCGAATTAGTCACTGTTAAAGCTAGAAAAACGGTGATATCTTCTTTGTTTTTGATCAGATAAAGGTTTAGAGGGTACTTTTGTGAATCGGCTTTACCCCTATTTGAAGAGGATTACTTGAAATTGTGTCGGCGTGTGTGTTAGATTTGTAAACTTGTTCATGGCATATATTTTCAAACATTATTTTTAACAAAGTTAGTTAAGAAAAAAGACTTTAGCTTAAAAAAACTTCCCGGAATGTTGCAAGTAGGGTTTATAAAATGCTAGACAAAACTTTTTCTTTCTTCTTTTGATAAATGAATTGAGTTTTTGACATAAACTCAGATTTTCTAATCCCAATATCTTTGCGATGCAATGTTGTAAAGCTTAGATATTTCAAACTATGAATTTTGTTAGATCCAATAATCTTAATTTGAAATATCAAAGATTTTCATCATCTGGTTGCAAAGACTTAGGGATTAGAATGTTTGAGTTTTTGATAAAGACTCAATTCCTTTAACAAAGGAAAGTCTACGATATAATATTTGTATAAGATCGCTAAATTAGGTTAAAACTTAATTGAAGAAAGGCTGGGTAGTCTGAATCTATGTAAAGTATATAAAAAGACCTTGGAGTAAAGGTATTGGGTTGCAAAGCATGTTCATAGCCCAATTTAAAACTTACACCACTAACTATAATAGTTTGGGTGCTCGGAAACTTTGAATGTTGAAATAAGTTTTTTCTGACAAATAGTAAGATATGGCATATGTTAGTACATTCATATTACAAGGGCTTTTCAAAAATTTGATTTTTAAACAGTAGCTATAGTAGCTACTTTTTTTACATTTACCGGACTTCTTACAGTCCTGTACTCTACCTTACGCATTAAAAAAATTGCTTACAAAAATCTTTTTAATTACTATTCCTTAAAAGTGTAAAATTTCAAAGTGATAGTGGCAAAAAAGAGAGTGCTATGAAAAACAAACAATAGCGTTAAAAATAAGAGATAATTCAGAACAGAAAAGGATTTCATATCATTATTTCTATATTTTCATATTTTTAAAAATTATTGTTAACATTTATATAATGTTTAATCTATAATGACTAAACATGATAATTTTGGCAGTTTCTCGGTATTTAAGTTTCTTTTGAATTTCACCAAATGCACTTTTAAAGTACAAAGTTCTACCAATTTTTAATATTTGCAGAACCTGGGTTAACAGAAAACAATAATTTGAGAAGCCATTCGATGGATAAATTGTGAAAATTTGAACGATGTATTGAAGAAAAAGTAAACTATGTATACTAAAGCATATTTCTTGTTGAATTCTAAATTTAAGGTACCTTACTATGTACTGTCGGCGTCATTTTACGTGAACCTCAATTTATAGAGTGGCGTAATTCGTTACCCACTGTGATTTAAAGGTCCCAAGCTCTTAATGAGAACTTTGCCAATTACTTCTTAAAAACCAAAGCTAACAACAAGGGTTTAAAGTGTTAAAATGTTCATGTAAAGGGCTACAGAAAATCATCAGTGCGTAAAGCTCAAGGTGTTGTGACACTTCAAAGTCGATCCTGTCTTAAAAATTCTTGAGACTCATTATATGCAAGCTGCATGAATCTATGTGTGTAATGAATATCATATAATACTATATCTGCAAACCTGAACTACGTTGTACGTTTGTAAATAGCCATTGACATTGATAGTGAAGTATTGGTACAGATAAATCGTGTCCGGATTGACATTTATAGTGAAGTGTTATTGAACTGATTAGCTCTTATCCTTCGTAGACCAGCGAGAAGGATTTAGTTGTACCTGGATTGATATATACGGGTCTAAACGGATATATAGGAGTAGGGCATTTACTACCTGTGTACCTTTTAAAGATCTTTGTTTGATCAAGAATAAAGGAAATCTGTATATTTTTTAATTGTGGTTTCTCTTTAAAACAGGATTGTTAAAGAAATACGCAAGAAATTTTTTTGATTTTTAAAAATTGTATTACTTGTGTTTTTAGCAGTTCTATGTTATGATCAATAGAATCCTCCGAATTGTATTTCTTAGTTTCAGGAACCTAAAAAACGGGAAAATGAAACATTTGTCAAGCGTAAAAGATTGGACACAAAGTCAACGAAAAAAAATTAAAAAAATAACACATGAAAATTAAACATTTGAGTCTTTGCACAAACTGAAATTTTCGAATCCCTATATCTTACACCTTATGGTGTACACTTTGATAATTTAAACTTCTATTATTTGATCTAACAGAATTCACAGTATTAAATATCTAATGTCTTTTTTTTGTGTTGCAAAGATATAGGGATTAGAAAATCAGAGTATATGTGGAAAAGACTCAATTCCTTAGTCAAAAATTTTAAGCGTGAAGCACTTTTTGCCGAAACAAGAAACTTGGAACACATACTTGCCGAAACGAGAAATTTGGAACACATAATTGCCGAAACGAGAAGCTTGAAACACAGAATTGTCGAAATGAGAAAGCTGGAACACATAATTGCCGAAACGAGAAACTTGGAACACATAATTGTCGAAACGATAAAAACAAAACGAATATTTTTCAAAACGAGAAAAATGGAACATATTTACTGAAACTAGAGTAATAAAAAAACACACTTAATTTCCGAAACGTAAAAACATGAACCCATAATTGCCGAAACATTAAAAGTGTAATACATATTTAACAATACAAAAAAAAATTAAACACAAAATTGCCAATACGTGAAATATGGAACAATCATTTGCCAAAACGTGAGAAATAAAATATAGATTATCCGAAAGGTGAAATATGGAACAAATATTTGCCAAAATGTAAAAAAATGAAACAAATATTTACCGAAACAAGAAAATTTGAAAACATTTAACTGTCAGAACGTGAAAATAAAAATTTACCGGCACGTGAAAAATTTACCGAAACTAGAAAATGGGAACCCGTATTAGTCATAAATACAAATAATAAACTTTACCAACAAATATTCAAAGAAAAGTAAATTTTAACCTGAGAGGATGAATCAACTTTCTGCATTTCTCCATTTTTTATAATTTCTCTTCCACCACTTTTTCCATTCAGATTTTTTCCACTATAACAAACATTATTCTTGTTGTAAAGTGATGAGACAAACTTAAATATGTCAAGAAGTAGAAAGGAAAACATTCAAGTGTTGTTTTAGCAAAAACCTATTTAAACCAAACCTAGAACATTTTCCAAAGATTTAAGTTAGAAGTTCAGTTTATGGGAAACTAATTGTAACTTTTCAAACTTGTAACTCGTTTTATCTAAATTTGACATCCAAGGATTTCAACACTTGTCTATAGTCTATAACTACATATCTACATATTATGATTTCCTATCTTATTGTAACCCAATGTCGTAGAAATTCGACATTTTAAACTACGAATTCCGTTAGATCAAATAGTCTAAGTTTGAAATATTAAAGATTAAAACCATCTGAGCTTGGAACCTTAGAATTGGATACCCTTAAAATCGATTAATCTGAATATCCAATGTAGGAAATTTTAGTTAGTGTCCTGCTTAATCCATTCTGTTTTATATCCCTGCCAGATTTCGACCCATGAGAGTTCTCTTTTCAAATGGCGCGTAAAATTTCAAATTTTCCCGTATTCTAATCTGTTTCGGATTCCATTGGTTAAATTTAACACATTTTTCAGATTACAAACTAAAGATTAAGTTGATCTTGAAATTGATAAAAAGAGGAGATCAAGCATTGATCTCGATATCCACCATTCTAAAGTTTTCAGCTCTGGTTTCACAAAGAAAAGGAAAATGTGAGTTTGCGGCAGTTGAACTTAGTTCCTTTGCGTTGTATATTTAGGTGTATGTTATTTTGGATATCGTTTCATACTGAATCCTATGTTCTTAGCTCATTTCTTGCACTCTAACCACTCTACTACCCTCATTACCCCGTCTACCTCCTTTTAAAAGGTACACAGTTTAAAGTCAAAAACCGAGGTTTATATAAAAGCGACCCCCAATAGCCTTTTTAGTATTTTAAACTGAGGGAACAAGACCTGAACAGAAATAGAAAACACTGGAGTTGTAAAAAGTGATAAATGGTCTTTACAAACGCCACAGCAGAGTCTCAATATAAAAACAGACAGTGTATATTTCTAATAAAGAAAGAGGATGGGGAGATAGGATTCCGAACAAAGTTTATTTTGAAAAAAGCTAAAAATTGCTTTGCTTCCAAACGCTCAAACTTCTACACGGATCAACTTCAAAGTTTTGGACAAATTTTGCTAAACATTTTTTTTTGAAGTATTATAGGGTGAAGGACGGTTCAACGGAAAATCGGCCTGTTTAAAAAAATCAAAAACAATTGAAAACTTTTGAATTAATTAAGCTTCAGATCTAACTTGATCCATTTAAAAATCCCTTGAGAAATGGGTGTAAAGAGTAACATGTGTCACATCACATGTTAATATTTGTTAAAAATATTTTTCCACATTTTTCTGACGTACTTTTTTTAAAGTTTTTGTTGAAACCTCCCTTGCACCATATCCATTAAAGTTAGAGGTATAATATTGTTTGAAGAGAGCCGGCCAATAGACTTTTAACATGTATTATCTCAACTCTAAGGGCAAAACCACATGGAGGAGGAGGAGGGGTGGGAGGGGGATGAAATAAGAAAACAAAATCGGGATATAGGGTTATGGATGAATTAAGCCTGAAAGTATAAAAAAACATGTCTAAAGCCTAACTTTTCTAACGGACACAAGCCCCTCACTAAATGCTGGGCTTTTAATTATAAAAGTCTACGCTATTAGGTTGCAAACACATTATTGTAGTAATTGATGATTAAATGCCGCAATTGTTTTTCAAAAAAAAAATAAAAAGACCTTTAAAAGTCGGTTCTTGATCTTCAATTTTTGTGTGATATTGAACATATTGAATGTTAAATCTTTTTATTATGCGCGCATTAGTGATAAATGTACTTCAACCATGGTTTGTGAACAACTGGGAATAGTGAATTTGAAGGTTTGTTCAATCTGTTATTATTTAGTTAAATAAAGCATTGTTTTGAGAAAAATAATAAGATGTTAGATAAAAAATTACCTGTCCTTTTTCACTTGTTTCGGTCGATACAATGGTCGGTCTAAAAAATAGGCAAAATAAATAAAAAAAATACCATTATTTTTGGCATTTTATGCAGCAGGGTTTTTTTTCACAAATTGTTGCAAAGTTTTATTTTACAAAATAAAAATGTTTTTCTTTTCGTATCTTTAATAAAGAAATACATTTATTTATCAAGATTAATAGTTTCAAAAAAGTCTAGAATCAGCCAAAGTCTTTATCAATAGCAGTAATTTGGTCATTAATAACGCTTCCTGCAAAGGCAAGTCAAGTATAATAAGGTATGATTAATAGCGATCAAATAAATTATATTTAATTATAAAAATACTATGTTTGTAATCATACAGAATAAGACTCTCCTTGAGGTATATGACTTTAGATGAATATTGAGATATTGAGGATTTCTAAACTAAATTAAAATAAATTACATTAAAGATTGGAACCTTATACGTTTTTTAAATCATGATTGAGGAGCTATTGTGAAGAACAAAAATGTTTGGATTTTAATATGTATTTAATTGTATTTTAATATGTATTTAATTGTATTTTGTAACCGAAAAAATTGTATTTTTCTAATACATCAACAGTAGAGGGCAAGTCTATGCCAGTAATGTTCCGTATATATTTTTATTTTAGTAAACAGAGCTGGGTGGGAACTTTTGAGTTGGATACCCATATACCGACTTGATATCCTTATAGAGGATACTTTTGAATTCTAAGAAATGCTTATCCGCAAATTCTCTGTTCTCAGTCATTTGTTATACGCATAATTCCTTGGCTTCGTTATATATTCGTTATCTTCAGACGACACTCTTCATGAGATATCACAGAAAGATTAGATTAATCTGTGTCTTTGTCTCAAATGGAAAAAGACAGATAAAAGAGTCCAAACTTAAAGTTTCCGTCACTAACGTTACTAACACAGTTGGCCTAAAAACTGTTTGAAGCAAATTTTTCTGAGTTTTATAAAGAAGTAACTAGCTTTAAATTATAATCTTTAATGGTAACGTCTCTTCTTCCGAATCAGAATTGGATAAGATGTACTCTTTTAACAGTTTACATGATTTACTCTTTTTGTCTAAGGAATTGGGTCTGTGCCACAAACTTATATGTTCTTATCTCTTTTTATCTTTGCTACCTAATGAATTAATATAAAGATATATCAATTAATGATATTATGCGCGATCAAATAAGTTTGAAATATCTAAGCTTCAAACCATCAGGTTGCCATGTACTGCATTTAGCACTGATTTCAGAGGAGTCACCTATAATTAGTTCATAAGATAGATATAACTGCGATTGCAATTTCTATTGGTTCTGAATCGTCACCAAGCATGTGACTGAACACTGATTGGATAATAAACTACTGCTGCCCCCCCCCCAGAACTGCATATGTACGCATATGTACACAATTTGGGCCCGATCGGTTTTTGGATACTAACGGACAGACAGACAAGTATATCTATAGATGATTGTATGTCTAAGAGTACCTTTTTGTAACAATGCAGATATTTTGTCTACCCGGCCTAGAAGTTTTTGAAACTTTATTTTACTACAGTATTCATAATCCATCTTACTCCTACATCTACATTTTTTACCCATACTACCTATTTTTCTTTATAATTGTGTGAACTATGGTGAACTACATAATATATAGGAGGTTTTTATGGTGTAAACCCTATTTTCCTGATCCCCCCCCCACGTGATCGGGGGATCTGGCGAAAAAAAATCCATGATTATGTTTTCCTTCCAAAAACGATATATATATTAGAAAATACAGAATAAAATGATATGGTTGGGGGCGGATACAGGGGTGATCCATGGAGCGGCCCTCACCTCCGGAAAGTTGCTCACCCCTGAAGCTAGACTGCTCACCCCTGAGGGTGATGTTTTAAACATTGAGACATAAATGCGAAGTGATTATGAGTTTAACTCCTGTCCTATAGTTTAAGATCGAAATATTGGATTAAATAGTGCTCCATCCCGAAGAAGTGAGCAATAAAAATATAGAGGTGAGCAGTGAAAGTTTTGCTCACCCCTTATAAATTTCTGTACTTGGCCCTGGATTGAATTAAAACAGAATGCTTTTGATTTAAATACAAAACAAACTGCCCTTACTTTGAACTGTTGAGGTGTTGTTCGTTTCATCTTCTCTATTTGCTTCCATTTTTCTGAAAAAAATAAACTCATTAATTTAGATATTTTACATTTTTGTATTAAATATTTGGTAACATAGAATCATACACATTTTTAAAATTTTTACACCACCGTTTGTATCATAAATGTTTTGTGACAATATTTGTCTTAAACTTTTGGAAAACATTGATGATTTGTACCTGAATATTCTATTCTTTTGTAATTACATCTGATTAATCGCCATGCAATAAAAGCCCTACTCCTAAAACGGCTTCCAGACTCATATCTATCCAGAGCTGAAAACTTTAGAATGAAATATCCAATTGTCAGATAATGTTGCTTCTCTGGAGTTTAAATTCATGTGGAGAACAAGCAATATTTAAACTGGATATTAAGAAAAAGAGTGGTTTAAGCCTTAATCCTGATATCCACCATTCTAAAGTTTTCAGCTCTGGTACAACTCGTAAACAATCAATGCCAAACCAATGGTTACTATCTCATAGGCTTCGATGTCAACAGGGACACAAGCAATGTAAACTATCAATGTCAGACCAATAGGCACAATCTCATAGGCTTCCAACAGGAAAACAAGCATGTAAATTATCAATAGAATAATTGTGCGTGAGGAGCTACGAGTACATAAAGTCATGCTAGTATTGTCACTATAAAGTTGTATCAGAATTGTTGTAATTTTACCTAAATTTACCTGTCTATACATGGGGTATTCTCCCCCCTCCCCTTCCTCCCCGGGAAAATTTCCTCTATGTTTAATATTACACCGTAGAAAGAGTTTTCCTTTAAACCCTGTTATAATTGGTTGTGAAGAGGATAAAAGGATAATTATCATAATAATAAACTTGTGTTTTCCACGCAAACAAGGCTAGAAAATATCAGTTTTTTCTTATTAAACCTATAATTTTTTCCCTCATGGGACCAAGCTGTTTTTTTCGTATTAAAGCACCAATAATGGGTCCAATTTGATCCCGCAACAATTTTTTCATGTTTTTGGATTTTTTCTGTGTCTAAACTGAAAACGATTGTTAAAATTTTTGACCTATAAAGAAAAAAAATTCAAAAGCCCCATCTCTTGGGACGATTTGACCCAACATTTTTGAAAATTTAGCGGCAAAATAGCAAAATGTCTTCGCAAGACATATTTCTCTCACAGTCAAGATGCAAATATCACGGGGACCTTATGCCCATAAAATACATTAATTAAAATATATATACAATTTTCTGTATGTTTGTGTTTCTAACAATTCAAATATCCACATTTACCTTTATATCAATATATTTATCTGAGTATATCTGATGTAGTTTAAAATATAAACGACATGAACTGCAAAAGTACTGTAAACATCCTTTTTTTAGATTTTTTCATAAACAAATATCTTTATTGTCAACTTTATATATTATAAATATGAATTTATTATATTACAGATACAATTATGCATTTTATGATTCTAAATTAACAAATATGCCCCTCACTCTAATTCTTTAAACGCCCCTGATTAAAATAGGAAACTAAAACTATGGGGGTCAACAAACAAATATCAAGTTTGCTTAGAGTTTCAAATTATCTTTAATATATTATGCTTTCGTTCTCATTTTCTAGTTAATTGTGTATCTCTCTTTCTTTTTAATTTTTAGTTTTTCTTTTTATCTTCAATCGTCTTTTGTTCATTTTTGTAATATAAACAGTTCAGGAATATTGCAAGAAAGCATATACTTATAGAAAACTCTAGACTTTCAAAATATCAGCTTCAAAGCTGTAATTTTTTTTCTGTTTCTTTTCTTTTTTATAATTTTTTTAATTCTTTATATTCCCGTTCGTTATATATTGAGATATTTTGTCTACCCGGCCTAGAAGTTTTTGAAACTTTATTTTACTACAGTATTCATAATCCATCTTACTTCTACATCTACATTTTTTACATATACTCCCTATTTTTCTTTATAATTGTGTGAACTATGGTGAACTACTGATAAAATGTTCACCATGTCTTTGGATGTCTGTAACCGCCTGTAGTGTTGTTTTGCCTTTATCATTGAAAAACATAATTTTAAAGAAAAAAAATATTGTAGAAAAAAAATCATAAACTCACAAAAATTAATAATAATAATAAAAAAAATCTATAATTTCTTTTTAAATAAAATAATTCAAAAATCCTTTATAAATCATCGTTTGAAGTCCTATAATGTTTATATTTATAAAGTTGTAATTTTTGTTTGTTTGTACATATGTCTGATCAAATTCATAAACTTTTTGACCGATTTGCCTCATTTTTTTAGAGGGGAACTCTCGGTGAAACCATAGTAATGTTCTTAGCTTGGTTTTCAACAACTATAAGTTAAGTCGATTGAGTTTATACTTTTTACAGGCGAAGCTGGGTTTCCATGCTAGTTATTTTTTCTCTAAAAAGTGCAGACTGCTGCACAGTTCATATGGCCCGTATAAATTGAAAGTTTGACACAAATAATAATATGAATATATATATTTATATATATTTTCGTTGTTGCTGAATTTATCTCATGTATGTTTGAAGGTTCAGTCCGTCAGGTCAAAATTTTAGAAACAATATAGAGTGAAAACTTTTGAATGATATGACTGGTTCAACTGCTGCTTCTGTTAGAAATTGAAATGGAGCAAAAACAGTTAGATTTAATGCAGCATTGGTCAGAAACTATTAAATACCCCCCCCCCCCTCCCCACCTCTCAAAGATCTCATTTAATTTTGATAAAACTGGAAATGATTCAAAATTGATCAAATTTGCCCAATTAAATGTATTTCATCCCTCGTACACTTTGGCTTCCCTCCCATCTTCCCCATACTTTGTCCGCATTCCCCATTATACGCACCTTTACCATTACCCCCTTCCCTAAACCTTCTTCCTCATCTTTTCCTCCACCTTCCCTCTCACCCCCTCCCCTCAACCTTCTTCCTCATCTCTTCCTCCACCTTCCCTCTCACCCCCTCCCCTCAACCTTCCTCCTCATCCCTTCCTCTACCTTCCCTCTCACCCCCTCCCTTCCCATCCTCCATTTTATTCTTGGAAGAATGACAGAGGTAAAGTTTAAAACCGGATATTAACTATTTATAAACACAATTCTGCAACAATAGAGCCTTAAACGTTAAACCCTGTCAAGACAAAAACAGTATTTTTTAAAGAAATATATTTCTTTTGATGATGAATAAAAATTCTCAAACGTCTAGTTTTCTGAACCTTGTTTCGTTGAGACGATTAAAGTTTCCTTCCCAAAAGTTAAATCCAGAATTGGCCTTTTTCTTTTCTTTTTTAAAATTAAATATTTGTATTTTAGTAAACAGAGCTGGGTGGGAACTTTTGAGTTGGATACCGACTTGATATCCTTATAGAGGATACTTTTGAATTCTAAGAAATGCTTATCCGCAAATTCTCTGTTCTCAGTCATTTGTTATACGCATAATTTACAGGGCCTTGTCAAGGGGCTACAGGGCCTTGGCAGTGAGGCTACAGGGCCTTGTCAAGGGGCTACAGGGCCTTGGCATTGGGGCTACAGGGCCTTGTCAGGGTTCTACAGGACCTTTTCAGTTGGGCTACATGACCTTGTCTAGGAGTCTACAGAAACTTTTCGGGAGGCTACTGCAGGACCTTGCAATGGGGTCTACAGTTCATTGTCAAGGGGCTACAGGAACTTGTTAGGGGGGCTACAGGGCCTTGTCAGGAGTTTTCAGGAACTTGTCAGGGGGATTACAGACCGTCAGTGGGCGCTACAGAATATATTAGGGGGGCTTTACAGGACTTAATCAGGGGGGCTACAAGCCTACAGGACCTTGTCATTAATCAACCATTTGGTAACTAAGAATGATATGGTAACTCAAAATTAGGTTACATTTTAACAATTTGGTAACCTAACAATTTGGAAATTAACAATAAATTGGTAACTGTTCATAACAATTTAGTAACCTAACAATATAATAACCCTATCTGCAATTTGGTAACTACCAATTTGATAACCTGACAATCTGGTAACAAACAATTAGGTAAATAATTATTTGGTATTTATCACTTTGGCTATATGACAATTTTGTAGGTAACAATTTGATGCATAATAGTTTAGTAACCTTACAATTTGGCAACCTGACATTTAGGAAATCGACAGATCGGGACCCAGTAATTTGGAAACCTATCAATTTAGCAACCAATAAGTTGCCAATCTGGTTACCACACATTTTTAACCGAATTGCTCTTCCAAGATAAAATTTGTGGAGCAAAGGGGCGAATTTTTAAAGTGAGATTCATGCATACGGGGTCTTTAAATAATTCTTTTTTATATAAAATTAGTCTAATTTGAATTAAAGGTCAAAAGGCGTCTACAGATTTTGAAATTTGTGAAAACATATCAATTGTCTCATTTCATGTTTCAGTCTAATTGGATATTGTTCAAACTCTTCTAAAAATGTCTAGTTCGGTTACCAAATTGCAAAGTTACCAAATTGTAAAGTTACCAAATTGAAGGGTTACCAAATAGTAAGGTTACCAAATTGTAGGGTTACCAAATTGTAGGGTTCCCAAATTGTAGGGTTACCAAATTGTAGGGTTCCCAAATTTCAGGGTTACCAAATTGTAAGGTTCCCAAATTGTAAGGTTACCAAATTGTAGGGTTACCAAATTGTAGGGTTCCCAAATTGTAAGGTTACCAAATTGTAGGGTTACCAAATTGTAGGGTTCCCAAATTGTAGGGTTACCAAATTGTAGGGTTACCAAATTGTAGGGTTCCCAAATTGTAGGGTTACCAAATTGTAGGGTTCCCAAATTGTAAGGTTCCCAAATTGTAAGGTTACCAAATTGTAGGGTTACCAAATTGTAGGGTTACCAAATTGTAGGGTTACCAAATTGTGGAGTTACCAAATTTTAAGGTTACGAAATTGTAGGGTTACCAAATTGTAGGGTTCCTAAGTTGTAGGGTTCCCAAATTGTAGGGTTACCAAATTGTAGGTTTACCAAATTGTAGGGTTCCCAAATTGTAAGGTTACCAAATTGTAGGTTTACCAAATTGTAGGGTTCCCAAATTGTAGGGTTACCAAATTGTAGGGTTACCAAATTGTGGAGTTACCAAATTTTAAGGTTACCAAATTGTAGGGTTACCAAATTGTAGGGTTCCCAAATTGTAGGGTTCCCAAATTGTAGGGTTCCCAAACTGTAGGGTTCCCTAATTGTAGGTTTACCAAATTGTAGGGTTACAAAATTTCAAGGTGACCAAATAGTATAGTTACCAAATTGTAAGGCTACCAAATTGTAGAGTTACCAGATTGTAGGGTTACCAAATTGTATGGTTACCAAATTGTAGAGTTACCAGATAGTATAGTTACCAAATTGTAGGTTTACCAAATTGTAGAGTTACCAGATTGTAGGGTTACCAAATTGTATGGTTACCAAATTGGTTACCAGATAGTATAGTTACCAAATTGTAGGTTTACCAAATTGTAGAGTTACCAGATTGTAGGGTTACCAAATTGTATGGTTACCAAATTGTAGAGTTACCAGATAGTATAGGGTTACGAAATTGTAGAGTTACCAAATTATAGAGTTACCAAATTGTAGGGTTACCAAATTGTAGGGTTCCCAAATTGTAGAGTTCCCAAATTGCAGGGTTACCAAATTGTAGGGTTACCAAATTGTAGGGTTACCAAATTGTATGGTTACCAAATTGTATGGTTACCAAATTGTAGAGTTACCAGATAGTATTGGGTTACCTGATTTTCAAGTTACCAAAATGCTAGCTACCAAATTTTTGCTTAACAAATTTTCCTATTACCAAATTGTTGAGTTACCAAATTGCTGGATACCAAATTGTTAGTTTCAAAATTGTCAGTTTAACGAATTATTAGATACCATTTGTTAGTTACCAAATTAAAGTTACCAAATATTCAATAACCGAAAATCCACCCATCTAAAGGACAATGTCAGGGGGGGCTAACTATAGACCTTGTCAGATGGGCTACACTTACGGACCTTGTAAAGGAGGGGCTATATCAGGATCTTGAAGGGGGGGGGGGGCTCCAGGACTATATCACAAGGTCTGCAGGACTTTGGAAATTATTTAAATCTATGAAGTATTAAGTCAATGACCCCACTTTACCTAATGTTGCATGTAATATGATAAATAACATGACAGTGTAACATTTCGTTCATAATTTAAAAAATTTGTTTTTCGATTATATTTCCTGTTTTTAAATGAAGCAAAATAAGAACAATTTTCGAATGCACTCTGTTTACAGAAAAACCGTGTCCTAGCAACTTGAATATATACTTATCATGTACTTATCTATTTATTACTGATAAACCTGCTTGACTAGTTTTTCAATAATACAGTTCAGACTTCAGTTGGATTCAGGGATTCAATATATTCACTATTTTCTCGTGATAAAAACTTATTTTGATATCATTTAAGGACGCGACTTTTCCTTGTTCTTATAAAGGGACTATTGTTCTTTAAAAGGGACTATTGTTTTTAAAAGGGAATCTTGTTCTTTAAAAGGGACGCTTGTTCTTTAAAGGGACTCTTGTTCTGAAAAAGGGACTCTTGTTCTGTAAAAGGGACTCTTGCTTTTTAAAAGGGACTATTGTTCTTTATAAAGGGATTGTTGTTCCTTAAAAGTGACTCTTGTTCTTTAAAAGGGACTCTTGTTCTTTAAAAGGGACACTTGTTCTTTAAAAGGGACTATTGTTCTTTAAACGGGACTCTTGCTTTTTAAAAGGGATTGTTGTTCGTTAAGAGGGACTCTTGTTCTTTAAAAGGGGCTCTTGTTCATTAAAAGGGACTCTTGTTCTTTAAAAGGGACTCTTGTTCTTTAAAAGGGACTCTTTTGTTCTAAAAGGGACTATTGTTCTTTGAAAGAGACTCTTGTTCTTTAAAAGGGACTGTTGGCGTATTTCTAAGTGATCCTTCATCGACAGCGTGAAATATCCGAGGGTGTCCTTAAAACTTTATGTCAGAGAAAAAATTATTAAATCTCGAACCCAAACCTAAGCTTGATGATTTTTTGTGCGGTCTCACCATATGAGTGACTTGTAGATTTATGCAACAGAAACATTGATGGAAAAGTTGAAAAATATATTGATTGACAAATAATCGGGAATGCAAATCGTTTATTAAAGAGTCACTGGAAAATATAACGAAATTACCAAATTAATTTCAATTTTACAAAACTTGAAGCACGATAATTAATCATGAATAACAAGAAATACACAGATTTATTGTAAACGAGTTGGTTGCAATGCGCCCGATTTTTGTTAGCAAAATTAATTTGAATCACAATTAAAGTTTTCTCCGTTGATGTTTTCAGATATAAAACAACAATGAGTTTTCTTGGAATTAGAATAGTGAAAGGAATGGAAAAATATTACCATATTTTTATAGCAGAGAATTTATTTTGTCGTTGGCATTTATTTTTTATTTTAAGTTTTTTAATGAGTAAACTTTACCCATGTCCGCTCAGAGCTAGTTCGACTGTCTGATGTCTGGATGTTGTGTATAGGAAATATAAATAATGTACATAGTGTACACACTCTACCCTTCTCAAGAACACAAAGACTGAATAAGGTAAAAACCAGTTCTGTAACGACAAATGCCATTAAAAAATTAACTAAAGGTACCGCTAATGAGAGTAGCTACTATATTACAATTTGTACGCATAAATTTCACTTACAGAAGGGGAACATTCATTTGGCATACTGTACCAATTGCCTTTTTTATTTGTACTTACATATTACTCTTGCTGATAAAAAGTGGGCTCGGCATCTAAAATGATTTTATAGTGTTCAATGTGTAGTGTAAACATATTACATTCACGAGACTTAATATTACTGCTTTATGTATCCCAGAGGTAGTGTTAATAATGTTCAGCGTTTACATTAATATAATCAACACGACTGCTCTATTAAAGTTTTGGTTTTCTTAAAAGCCATTTAAAATAATAAGTTTATTGGCCGCCGTAGAAACCAAACCAAAAATTTAATTTCAATGTCTTATTTATGTATTTATTTGATATATACGACGACGACTGTAGATAACCGCCAAAAAACAGTTTTCGGAAATTACGTCATCACATTTAATTGGTATCAAAAAAAATCTTGTAAAAGAAAGTTCTTGAAGTATTCTTGGCTGAAAACTTTAAAAATGGGATACCCTTAATCCCGATCGGTTAATTAATCTGGAGATAAATAACAAGACGAGAACAAGCATTATTTAATCTGGAGATTAGGAAAAAGAGGAGATCAAGCTTTAATAGACTCGATATCCACCATTCAAAAGTTCCCAGCTCAGGAAAAATAGTCCCAGAAATCTAAAAAATGAACAGAATATTTTGGGTTTTCCCCAAAGTTTTTATCTCCAGGTTTTTTTCATACTCTTTTTTTCATCGTGACTTTCTTACGAAGATTCTCCACCATAGGTCAACATAACACGTAAAGACATCTTATCCTGCTCCCTAATGAGAGTGTTTAAATATAAGAGAATAGAATCTATATTAGAGTGGAATTAAGAAATCCCTCGGTATGAAATTTGTCAGTCTCTTTCAGCCTGACAAGGAGTTCATAGTGTAAAACATGTAAATGTTCACAAATTATATGCAGTAGAGTACATTAATACAGTATTTTCCCTTGACTATCCATTTCAACTTCGAATTTTTTAAAGCTGTTGAATAAAATTTATAAAATGAATTAGGTGAATGAAAACATCATTTGATTTATAGTTTTAAAAGTAAATCATCAATTGTAAAGTGAAAGGCATATAGTCTATGTGAAATGATCATTGGTCAATTATGAAACCAGCCTATTTCATAATTTGGTTTTCTTTTAATATTAATTTTAGATTTTCTATAAAATGATGTTCCAGGGCCCAAAAGGTTATTTAGCATAAATATGTGAAGTACACCTGCAGTATGGAAACAGTACAACAAAATGGCCGTTTTATACTTTTTTCTAGTAAATTCCACTCTAATATATATTTTATTCTCTTTTGTTTAGGCATAAGGCATTTTTTAACCTTTCAGACACTTAATGCAGGGGACAGTGTACGTTATAGAAATGGTCAGGCTGCATAAATTGCATAAAACGTGTTCTACATCGGAATTAAACTTTTAAACGTATTTAAATATGTTTAGAAAATAAGCCGACCAGTGACAGTGAAAACTAATCTGAAAACTAAAATTGACGGAACAGAAAAAAGGTAGAAAATCCTAATAAATTAAATTAAATTAATCAGTCAAATACTGTTGAGATATGTTTGTAGTTTTTTCTTAATTTCTTAATTATTTATATTTTGCAAATAAAATGAATGTTTTTGGGCACTTCATGGGAGTGTTGTAGAGCTTCATGTTGGTGGAGCAGATCAACAGGAACTGGAACAACAGGGCTTAACAAAATTAGTAGGTAGAGATTGTGGCTTGTCATGCTGGCTTTGAGCGATTGTGTTGTCTCTGGAATGCATGATGAACTGGGAACCCTCGGGTATAAGCACACCTGCTGTTAGCTGAATATCTGTATCATCATCATGAAGGAGTCAAGAGGCTCCCTGTGTCGGAGCTGTTACTAGCTCAACTCTCCTAACCTGACTGAGAGGCTAGGATGTGTTGAGGGGTGGGGGGGGGACGAAGGAGCGAGGGTGACAAGTGGGCGGACCGGAGGAAATAGATTCATACGTCTTGAAAATAGTCAACGGCATCTGAGTCGGTAAATCGTCTTCCTTATATTTCGAATTTGTGTTAACAAATATATTTAGCAAATAATATATTTTGCATTCACAATTGTAAAACATTTGTCTGATAAAGAATGAAAAAGATATTCATGTTTTTTAACTTTGAAAACTGAATTTTTTAATCTTGGTTTTCATACCAAAGTAACTTGCTTCCTTCTGCTGCAAAAAGTGGAGAAATGATCAGAAATATTCTCTTTTCATAGCTGACAAAACGATGATATGTACTCGATACTATATAGGAGATAATGGTTTGAGGGGGAACCATTGTACGACGTACGTACATCGTAAACCCCTCTTAAATGCAGGCTCACCTGAAATTAATAAATAATTAAAAACAAAAATAATACATTTAATACAAATATTTGTTGTAGGTTTTTAAGCTTGTATCCAGATGTAATTCATTCTCTGAGTGCAGAATTTTCTGGTCATCTTGCTTCGTCTTCACCAAGATTTACCAGGGTGAGAATAAAAAGTGGAAATTCATCAAATTAAAAAAAAAATTGAATTAATATTTTTTAAATGCTTTACACATTTTTAAAAAGTTTTAAGTATTTTAAGTTTTTCCTAAATAACCCTGATGCAGAAGCCAAAAGGAATGACGCGCATGCTGCGTTGAATTACAAGACAGAGGCAAAGGCCAAAAGGAGTTACGCAGATTCAACGCAGCATGCAAGTAACTCCTGTGGGCCTTTGCCTCAGGGTTATTGTGGATGAGAAACCCCTAAATCTTGAAAAGACGACATCTAGTGTTCTATCTGTGGTCTTATTAATTTATGGTTTAGATACTGACTAACAATCTAAGCACTTTGAACCTGGGAAAACGACATGGCCTTCTTGTACCAAAAATATACAAGGTTAGTTGAAATTATTTCATGATTTAAGATTTTGCTTCAAAAAAACCTCCTCCCACTCTTCCTCGCTTTCATGTACAATTTACATTGTACATGCCATTACCATTTTCAAAAATATAACAATTATAATAAAATAATTTATACGAAATAAATAAAGATGACCTTTGTTCCACAATTTTTTATTACAACTCTGTGCTTAGGAGTTAGGAAGATCTGAACTGGAGTTAGAGGCAAATATATTAGGATGGACTGTAGAATTATCTAGAGCAGCAACTAAACTTTCCACTGAGGTAGGAATATTAATAGAGTAGTAAATAAACTATCCAGGGAGGTAGGAATATTAATAGACCAGTAACTAAACTGGTAGGAATATTAATTGAACAGTAACTGAACTTTCCAGAGAGATAGAAATATTAATTGAGTTGCAAAGTAACTTTCCAGAGAGATAGAAATATTAATAGAGCAGTAACTAACTATTCACAGAGGTAGGATTACAAAAAGAGAAACAACTAATTTAAAAAAAAATAATACAGTGAATGATAATTTAACATTAAGAACTACACTTTTTACATCTCAAAATAACACAAGAATTACATAAATAACAAAAGAAAAGTAAAATAATATATATGTAAATATTCCTTATCTTTGCAGGTTAAAAAATTGATAAAATCCCTTCACACTCTATTTGAACAGTCCACAATAACACTCTTCAGTTTAATTTTGAAATATGTCAAAAATGTTAAAAGTTTAGAGTTTGCAAAACTTTAAATAAATGTTGATCTACTAAAATTAAAAGTTAGAAAATTGAGTCGCTGAAAGTTTGATTTTGCTAATAAACAGAATTATGTTAGATTTGTATTTTAGATTATTCTTGATGTTGAGAAAGCACGACAGCTGGAGCCAGGAGAATCAGCTGTTGCACATGTTAAGGTAATCAATAAAACTGGTTGAAGAGAGTGTTTCAGTAAGAAATGAAATATCCTATCTATGAAATGTCCTGTCTGTGAAATTGAAAAATCCTGTCTTTAAAATTTTCTGTCTATATGAAATCCCCTGTCTGTGAATGACCTGTATCTTATTTAGTAATATATAATATGTTCCAAAACCATTTTTGCTTGCTAAAACGCGTTTTAGATGGAATAGTGTATAGAGCAAGACATAGTTGAATCACATGTACATTAATTCAACTGGTTTTTGACCATGCTCTCTCAGCTTCTGTTTTAACAGAACATACAGTCGTACTCAGGTCAACTGTCCATACCTAGTTCAACTTATTTTTGCTTTTCATAAAATTTTACCTCTGGTATTTATAGAACAACATTCATTATACCTTTTTAGATTCTTGAAAGCAGTGTGTTCATTCTTTTGAAGAAATATCTTGGTGGCTCCCAAGCTTTTCATCACTCTACGGAGGTAAATTTGATCAGAGTTTAAAACTGTAGAATTGCAGTCTATAGGGATGTTAACGTTTTCATTTTTTGAAAAAAACGATCTTTTTGTTATGATAACAACGATGAAAAGGCGAAAACGAAACGATAGTTTTTAAAAACGATCGTTTTTTTTCAAAAATTTCGTTTTTTAAAAATGGTCGTTTTTAAAACGATCATTTTGAAAAACTATTGAAAAAATATTGCTTGAGAAGATAAGTTTTCTGATTTTGGTGAAATAGCTAGGGAGTTACCTAAAACCACTTAGAAGCGCACCCCCGTTCTCAGAACCTATGGGGTAATCCTTTTAACTTTAAAATTTGTGCTGCCTGGTATGGGTATTCAATACTAGTGGGTATACAATTAATGTTAAAGAAGTACGACAGCCTGTATGTCATCTGCCCAATGTAATTTTTAGGGAGACACCCTTTATATTTTAGTGCCTAGTGGAAGCCTGTCTTCAGCATCCAGCAACTGCTTACTGCCTTGATCTCAAACTACCTCCTGCCACACCAGCTGATTTCATCCAAGGTGCAGAACGTTGAATGGACTGTAAGCGTAATTTCAAGTGACCCTCCATGCCAAAACTGCAATGCCCAATGTACAACGGTAACCATAAAAAGCATTTGTTGATTAGATATCCATGTTTTTGTTTATTTGTATTTGCGGTTTCTCTGCAGAAGTGACATGCGCATTTCTTGCTTATAAGAAACATTTGAGAAATTCACAGAAATAAAGACTTTTTGAGTCAGAAAAAAACATTTTATCATATTAAAGTCTTAAGGTTACCCTTGTAAATCGGGTAATGCTGTCTTTGAATTTAGGAGTAGATGAGGTCGTTTACATCTACTTTTTAGGTTCACTGAAAAATACGCTTACAGACCCTGTAAATCAAAATTTGCTTTAACATGACCTGGTATTAGGGTTTCCACAAAATGACCATATTTTTTGCGCAAAATTTGCTTAATTTTTTTTTTGCTAACTTTTGCGCATGTTTTGGCATGAAGCACAATAATTTTTGCGAGAGATCAATGCACATCTTGATTTGCAGTGTGCCATCATGCATTAGGTTGAAAAATAGTTTAGGGCAAGTAATATGTTCCTTTTTAAGCATTACAATTATTTGCAAGAAAGTGCAATCTTACAGATTTACAGTTTACACCTTTATTCAACCTTTTACTGATTATTTGTTCCGCAAAATTAAGCAAAAAAGAATAACGTAAAAGTGGAATAATGCAATTTAGACTGAAATGAAGGTTGTGAATGAGTGCACAAAGTGCTATTTTTTCAAACAATAATGTAGCTCAACAAAAGTAAAAATTTGCCCTTTCTTTTGCAAAAATTGCGCAAAAGTTTTGTGAATGGAAATCCTACCTGTAAACATTAAAGTCACTTGATAATTATTTTCAGCAAAGAAAAATTATGCAATATAAGTGATTTTTGATGCAATCCAGCAAAATTGAATTGCCTTTGCACTAAATTTGTGCGAATTATCTTTTCCTGCTTTTTGGTTACTTCTATTTACATGTCTAATTTATATTATTATGTAAAATGTTAAATTAAGATAATTTTTCCTACAGGTTTATAAATCAGGTTTATCCCTGAATATTTTGAAATATTGCCATTCCTATTTTTCAATATCTACTATTAATATTTGAATTTTAGAATAAACTTTCAAACAAAAAATCTTTACAAAAAGTTTGAATTTGTATTTTCTATTTCAGAGTTCGATATGTCCAGATATAAGGGAAGAATCAATCTTTTTTTAAATTTTTCACAGTGAAAACGTTTTTTTTTCTTTCTAAATAAAAATTGATTAAATTATTGATTGATTTTTAATTGTTTGATTATTAATTGATTGATAATTGATTGAATGATTGATTGATTGATTGATGATTGATTGATTGATGATTTATTGATTGATGATTCATTGATTGATGATTCATTGATTTATACAACATTCTTTAGTTTGTTAATAGTTACTAACCCAGAATATAATAAGTTTGAAATAATAAGATGTGGGAAAAATTCACTAAACCTCTCTTAGTATACTGCTTACCAAAATCCAAATAAAACGACAGTTTAAATTCGATTATTTAATTTTTTAATAAAAGCAATTGCAATCATTCTCTTGCAGTTCAATAAGCATCAAATCGTGAACCATAAGTATTACTAACTAAACTCGTAATCGCATAAAATGACTCATAGAACCAAGATTTCAGAAGAGGAAAGGCAGCGCGAAGTTTTGCAGCTTACAATTGATAGTTTAAGTCGCTCGCTACTTAGTTTTGTAAAGTTTAAAAAAAATAAACGTACAAGAAGTCAGACAAACAAATAGTTTGTTCGTATCGATCGTATAAGTTCCGAGTTAAAATAAAAGGATTTACAAAATTTTTAACGTAAATATAATTAGCTAAGATGTGATTTCAAGAAGCCAGTAGTTTTGTGTTGAGAATCTTTGATGATCTTCTTATTCAGACCTAAGAATGTTTTAATTCCTATTCGATATATCGTGGTGGTTATACCCTGCAGAGATAACTTTAACTGATTGATCAAGAATTTATTATCAAATCTATAAGTGCCCACGAGATTAACCATTCCACGGTATATTCCAGTTCATTTCATTTACAGGGCCGAATTTCAACTAGCTAGGGCAAGCAGTACAGTACAAATACAGACTATATGAGACAAAACGGGACTGAATGCCAAATGAATGATATCCTTCTAGTGAAATTTATGTGATTAACAAGATGAACGTTACTTCACACTAAAGTTCCTTAAATTGGATAAACAAAAATTTATTTAAAATTGAGTCTCCAGCATATACATTTTTAAACACTTTTTATTGTTTAGGTTGGAAACGACTTTGATAAATGTTTTAAGAGCATGGAACATGACGATATAGGTACAGTACAATACAATATATATAGGTACAGTACAATACAATATATAGGTACAGTACAATACAATATATAGGTACAGTACAATACAATATATGGGTACAGTACAATACAAGTGTTTAAACAATAAAAGAAAAGTTTTTCTCTGGCCATCCATAGCACCTTTTATTTCCATTTTAATGCTCAATCAAATTGTAGTATTTATGAACTGTTTTCTAATTGTTAAGAATTAACGATCATTTTAAACAACCTAATTGACAGGTTAATTAAAGGGACTGCTCTCGTACATATAGAGGGGCATGCCCGCAACAGAACGGTACCTTTGATAAATAAAATGTAATTTTTCTGACAGTTTTCAAAACAAAAACGTGAACATCCGAGTCAGGTGTACCTGGTCGAAAAAAAGCTTTAAAAGGACAGTTTTTAGTCGGGCATGAGACTCTTAAACTCATGTCATTATAACAATTACTTTTATATATAGTTCAATAAATTGTAAAATAAACTTTTGATTAGTAACTTACTTTTGTTAACAAAACTTCCATGACATGTAAAGAAAGCAATTTTGTTTTGTTTAAATTCGTAAAAAATTATTACTTTTATTTTTTTTTATTTTCCCTATTTGTTAATGAAATTATTCACTTTTAGCTCTTACATTCCTTACAACTCGAACATGATACTTATAAAATGTTTTTCTTTTACAAACCAAGTGAAATTTAATAACTCTTCAGGTGTTTTACTTTTTACGTAAAAACATAATAAATTAAGATATTTTGACGTAAATAAACTTTTTTTATAGTTGAGAGAAGAATAACCTGGTTAATCGTTCTTGCCGTTCAGGTGAAGCCTTTTAATCATTAATGTATCCAATAAACAGCTAGACACTTGAACCTTTTGGGCTCTAAAATGACCTCAGGGAAGGTTTATTGATGCTCATTACAAAAAAGTTGTCTCACCAAATTATCTTGAATATTGTTAAATGATACATGAATATTGCTTTCAAAGACACAATCTTTCTTTGTAAACTATGAAAATGACAATTTTTTTTAATATATTGTTAGTTAATAAAAGATTTAGACATCAATTGTAAATATTTTCCAGTCCTGCGTAAACCTTTTTTAGAAACAAACCCAAAATGACAAATCACCTGAAAAACCTATAAAAGGTAC